CGTTTCAGCCTAGAATTTGGAACTGACAGAAGATTCTGCTCAGTCGACCTAAGAGATCTCACAGGAGTGTAGGGATGAAGCAGCTCTGCCCTAGGATAGGGCTAGGATAGGATAGGGCTAGATTGTGGAGGGATTTATAAACCAGTAAAAGCACTTTAAAATCAATTCTGAATTTCACAGGCAGCCAATGAAGGCCTCTTAGAAGAGGGGTAATGTGGCCATGTTTTCTGCTGTTACATACAGTATAAATCTAGCAGCAGCGTTTTGGACCAGCTGAAGGCGAGAAATCTGGGATTTTGACATGCCACAGTAAAGTTCATTGCAGTAATCTAATCGTGATGTAATAAAAGCGTGGACAGCCATCTCTAGAGTGGTGGGATTTAAAAAGTGTTTAACTTTTAGACAGCAGACGTAATTGATAAAAACTGGAGCCAATAACCGAACTGATCTGTTTGTCAAGTTTTAATGACTCATCAAAGATGACACCCAGATTGCGGACACAGGGCGATCTGAAGGCAGATTAGCAGCCCAAATCTAGGTAAGAGGCCTGAACGTTTTCAGTAGGACTGAAGACAATCACCTCTGTTTTATCTTCATTTAATGATAAAAAATTGTGGGACAGCCATATTTTGATCTCATCCAAGCACCTTAGTAAAGTACTGAGTGCGAGAGGGTCGTTCCTCTTAATAGGTTAGTAAATCTGGGTGTCGTCAGCATAAAAATGGAAAGACACCCCATGACTTCTTTAAATGGCACCTAGCGGAAGCACATATAATGAAAAAAGTGAGGGAGCTAAGACTGAGCCTGACTGTAAAGTCAAAACCTAACAAGCTTTTTATTTTTTAACTTTTGACAGACAAGTATGTTGCCAGCCAAACTGTGCCTGAGGAAAACATGTGAGTGTTTTCATTATCAAGATGATTTAGCAACATCAAACCTTGAAACGCTTCCGCCGCTGATGGTTTGCACTTGTATTTTGTTTCAGATGGAACACGGGGTCTTTCTGTTTGTCACGGAAGTAGAGCTTCTTCATATCAACCTTAAGAAAAAAGGATACTTAATTGTAAAGCTTTACAATTTTTTTCATTTCTCAAATTGACCTGATCTCGACTCAAGTTAAGATACTTGGGGGTTTTATGATGGGGTCACATGTTGATTGGTCAGTTTGTTAAATATACTAAAAGAGGTCAATTTTACTCCTGCACTGCTCCTCTCCTGCTCTAGAGTTTATCTTCTCTGACTCTACTGCTATCAGGCTCTCTCTGTTCTTTGTCTCTCTCTGTCTCCCTCCCTCCTTTTTTTCTACCTCTCTCGGGTAACTTTATTTTTACATTTGAGTTGGGACCATTAACATCATGTTTTTACCATTTCATATTTGATCATTTCATACAGTTGTTTGTAATTAATTCAGTTGTAACCATTAAGAATTATTGTCATTAAATCATCTCATTTTCACGTATTTGTGAATTACTTTTAATTTAACATCAACACTTTATTGCTCCTTATTGTAATACAATGCAGTCACATAATAGCAAAGCTCTCCCACATTTTTAGAGAACACAAAAGACTTATTTTAAATCTTGAAGAAGGGGTTAAATAGGTGCCCTTTAAATCGTTCAATGGCTGGCTCTTCTAACTCCATCCAGTAGAAGGTGGTGTTGTCTTTGAACAGGGCTGGGTGTAAGCTGAAGAAGCATTTGGTGAAGGAAAAATCTAAATTTAAGGTGATCTCTGTGAAAGTAAATTCAAAAGCAGTCAAAAAGGATTTTCCCACTTTTACCTCGTGGCTGATGAAGGTATTGTTTATGTTTTAATGAGCGAAATTTGAAAGACTTTGTCTATCTTGACAGTTTATGGTTTGTTGACGGCCTTTGTTTAATTGTTGTTAGCACATATATAGGTATTTTGAATATCAGTGATGTCCACATTATATGTTAGTTTTGTAAAAATTGCATGTAATTTATTTTTACTACTATTTTCTTATAATTTGCACTTTAAATATGACATTAACAGCCATTAAGGTCTTTATTTTGGTCATGTTTTAGGTTTATCTCTCTAAATGAGATCGCCTATTGTACTAAAATTAATTAATCATTGTTTATATTACAGTCTAATAGGACATTGTTGCAATTCATAAAATCATAAATGCTTTATCTGCATTAAATATTGTAAGTGTTAGTGCAGTTTATTGGCTTGTTGTGAGCAGTTGTTTAGCATAATTTCAAGGATATGTGTAATGAGTTGGGATGTAACGGTATCAGAATTTCACGGTACGGTAATACCTCGGTATGAATGTCACGGTACGGTATTTATTGAATCATTTACAGGAAAAACAAAACTTATGAAAATACTCAAAAAAAGTGCCAAAAGTGTCAATGACATACAAATTAGCCATCTATCTGTAAGCTTTGAAACAGGAACTTCAATTTTAATGACAAAAAAACTATTAAACCATGTAAAAAAATAAAGTTTCAATTTAGTATTGTTGAAAACTCATCACATTCAACATTTAATCACTCACTCACTTAGATAGAGATGGGTTTAAAGGAAAATTATCATATAAATATAATCTGGTAAAAGCTGGTATCTCTGGGTATTTACAATGTCCCCTGCAACAGAAAAAACCCCTCTCATTTGGGACTGAGGTTTCTGGGACAAGAGAGATATGACTTGGCCCAGGTTGACAGCAGTGGGTAACGTTGTGCATTGTCTTTCCCTCACTTGAGAGGACAAACCATGAGTGAGATAGAGATCTCATGTCTGCATCAATCTGAAGTGTGCTGTGTTTCTGCAGTCCACATGACTGTTATTAGTCGTGTTCCCCAACTTGCAGGCACGTGCACACACAGGGCTCAACCTGTGCAGTGCACATGCCCTTTTTAGTCTTGGATAGAAAGTTCCCTTCCAAAATGATCAAAAGTGCCCCCGCGACGCGACACACCCTCCGTCCCGCTTTACAGTACGCGCGCGACAACACAGCTGATCAGAATGCGCGCGACAACACAGCTGATCAGAACGCACGCGACAACACCGCTATTCAGTACGCGCGCGGCGACAACACCCGCTTTAGGGTTTTCCAGCTCTTTTTCATCCCCGCTTCTAGCAGCACACTCCATTTCCGCATTACTGGATCTGTAGCGACAACAGACCGCAAGGGATTATGGCAAAGCCTAGGCTGATGGGAATTGTAGTTTCCGGTACCTCCCGTTCGCTTCATTCGCCTGAGCAAATTTTCTCAGAAGACCTATAGTTTTACAGAGGCATGCGACTACGGTAATATCGAAAAAAATTAATATTGCGGTATGACGGTATTTACCGTTATAACGGTATTTACAATACCATTACATCCCTAGTAATGAGTATTGTTTGTTTCTGTAATTCAGCTCTTACTATAATTTATTTTGAAGATGAAACACTTTATAAACATCCTTCCCTGAGGGTAAAGTGCATCTGTTCAGCTGGGAATGCTACAAACATAAAACAATTAAGTGGTCCCACAAAAGCTCAAGAGTTGTATAATTTTGGCTCATGTTAAATAAGTAGTTTGAACAAACAGCGAACATAATTGCTTGAGTGTAGGATGAATCTACTTTGATTTCATATTACAGGCAACAAGAGCATTTCAATCATTATCCACACCGTACAGTGTTTCTCAGCCACGTTCCTGGAGGACCACCAGCTCTGCACAATTTACATGTATCAAACACACCTGATTCAGATCAGCAGCACATTAGCAGAGGTAGGAAAGCTAGCAGTTCTCAACAGGAGGGTCCCAGCTCACAAGCGGGGCTCAGCGAGCTCTGTGGGGGGTTGTGTCATGTTTTAAATTATTTTTGGCAGTGGACAATTAGGAGAATGATCATGTTGCCTTAATTCATTTTATTACCTTGCTGAACAAAAAATGGACAAATTTGTAAGTGTCCTCCATAAAAAAGTCTCACTTGTTCACCTTCAGTTGCTAATAGTAATGAAGACCCAAGCATACTGTACACAGGTGAGGAAGCTCCAAACATTTCACATCACAGCGCTAGCAATACTGAAATGAAATGCTGGAAATATAAAGATAGTTACCTGAACTATGGTTTTATTCCACTGCCTCAAAGCAAAGAGCCCCTGCCATCGTGTATTACTCTCTGCGCCAAAGTTCTTGCTAACGAACGAATGAGAATGTCCCAATTAAGACATTTGCAGACAACCCAGAGAATGTTTTGAGTGCACCCAAAATGAGATGAGAGACGTCACAGCTACTGACAAGAAACTTTTAAAAAGTTGCAGTGCTGTTGCACCTCCAGAAATGTGTTGAGGAAAAACTGATCAACACCAAACGAACAAAGATTATTTTGGGTATTTGATGATTTATTTAAAAAATATTGTATAATTTAAAAATATGAAGTGAAGAAAAGCTTTCTGACCTGAAATATGCTACATAAAACATACTGGTATAGATGTAAAATGGGATGAATGCGGTTTAAAAGATATAATTCAAAGTTTTTGTGCAACTTTGTGTGTAATCTACTTTTTTTTTTTCTTTTTAGAGCATGAATATGTGCTTCTCATGATTGCTTCTCTCTACATATTTTTGCCCACGTTATCAAATGCAGTTAAACATTTGTAGCCACTAGGGGGCCCCGTAGCAATTTTGCGGGATGGGTCAAGACCGTCTATGGTTAAGACATTACAAAACTGTTCAGCGTGAGCTACATATTTTTGCTATTAGGTAGATTAGATCCAATAGATATTTAGAAAGCAAAAATTCTATGTACAATATATTTATATAATGTGTTTGCAGCATAAATAGATTAGGAGCGCAGTTTAAAAGTGGTGTTTTTATCCGGGGTTAAGCAGAGTGTGCAATATTATAGTAAGTGTGTGTGCAGGATGTGCGTTTGCTAACTTTGACTTTCATGACATAAGTGAGTACAGAAACAGGAAGGGCTCATTTCTGTTTGATTAATCTCAGAGAAAGGAAGTGAAATGTTCATTTCAGGTTCTATCTTTTACCGTCTGACCATCATTTACAGTATGGCTCATCCTTCTCTTCTCATCGCTGTTTTATTTTGCACTGCAGGTAATAAAGAGTCTATCTATCTATCTATCTATCTATCTATCTATCTATCTATCTATCTATCTATCTATCTATCTATCTATCTATCTATCTATCTATCTATCTGTCTGTCAAAAATGCAAATTAATTGAATAAAAAAGCTGCTAAGCTTTAAAAATAATGTAAGTTGATGTTAATGTATTGAATTATGTTATAATTATAATTATATGTATTGAATGTTAACAAGCATGACTAATGTAATAATAATGTAATAAAATAATAATGAAAGTGATTATAGGTTAAATAAAGGTGATTATTTAGTGATTCTTTGATTACTGAAAGTCTCCATTTGACAGCTTTATTTTTAAGGGTGCATATTAAACATCATTCATTTTTAGTGCTGTTCATTTTATATCCTGCTGCATGTGGTTTGTATGACTAACAGATGTTCACGTTGCTTATGAAAACAGTTTAATTCATTTTGTTAAAGGTTTTGATAGCTAACAACAACATTGCAACACTGATTCCTGATGACGGAATTGATTAAATGTATCCTGCAAAACATGTTAAAAATAGGCTATTAATTAAAACATGCTGAACACAATGTTGTTTACACAAATGTATTGTTTCTTTGCTGTACTAGCATGCTAAAAAAACAGTCCTTCTTGGTTAACCTTTTTTATAATAAGTGTTTAATATTATATTTTGACAATTCTATTTATGAATCATCTTGGACTGTACATTCAAATTATATTTTTTATCATTGATATTAAGGTGAAATTTAAGTGTATTGTTCTAAAAACATTAATTCTGTAGGTTGTCTAAACTTCCGAAAAAAATATTACAGTTTTTCTCAGTCGCTTGGGTACATTTCTCAGATCCGAATTGAAATTTGCAAAACAGTAAGTACATTTCTCAAAACAACATGTACAAACAAACCACTGTAGATTTACCTGCAAAGGCCAGTCTTCTGCTCAAAATCATTAGTTCATCTCTCAAAACTAAATTTCTGTGTTAATGAAAATATCAGTGCAGTCAGAATGACAAATCTTTATGTCATTGTGTACAAATAAGACAGTCAAATGACTTAGTCTTCATCATAACTGTGTTCTAGAGAAGTGTTCTGATGTAAACTATGACATTTATTTATTTATTTTGCTGCCTGTACTGTAATTTGTTGACAGATCTAGTCATTGTGATACAGAAAGCAAAAGACAGCACTGCGTAGCACAAAGAAAAAACAAAAGTAGAAATGTGAACATAGAGTCTCATTTACATTTATTTTTAGCAGACGCTTTTATCCAAAGCGACTAACAAATAAGGACAGGGAAGCAATTTACACAACTATAAAAGTATCAATGAATAAGTGCTATAGGCAAGTTTCAGGTATGCAAAGAAAGTGTAAGAAGTAAAACAGTAGTAATTTTTTTTTATATATATGTAGTTAGTGGAGGGGTCAGAGAGGGAATTGCAGATTAGGAAGTGTAGTGGAGACTAAATAGTTGAGTTTTAAGTCGTTTTTTGAAGACAGTGAGTGACTCTGCCGTTCTGATGCAGTTAGGGAGTTCATTCCACCAACTGGGCAGATTGAGCGCGAGAGTTCGGGAAAGTGATTTCTTCCCTCTTTGGGATGGAACCACGAGGCGACGTTCATTCACAGAACGCAAGTTTCTGGAGGGCCTATAAATCTGTAAAAGTAAAAGCAGATAAGAAGGGGCGCAGCTAGAAATCGCTTTGTAAGCAAACATCAGAGCTTTGAATTTGATGCAAGCAGCAACTGGCTGCCAGTGCAAACGGATGAGTAGCAGAGCTCATCCTCATTTAAAATTCATTCATTCATTACTCATTTAAAAGAGTAATGTGCTCTTTTAGATTCATTAAAGACCACTCGTGCTGCTGCGTTCTGAAGCATCTGGAGAGGTTTGATAGAGCTAGCTGGGAGCCCGGCTAGTAGGGAGTTGCAATAGTCCAGTCTGGAGAGAACACCTTCATTAGACATATCCAAGATCCACCTAGAAGAAATTTACTAATTATAGACAGATTTAGAAAAAAAAGTCTAATGGATATGTATCGAGGGTGAAATCGGTTTTCTTGTTGGAGGCAATCAGATTGGATTATTGCTGATTACAGATGAGAGACCAGCTGTGATCAATCATATCACATGCTCTCGAAATTAGTTTAATAAACTTTACATATTAAAAATAATATACATTGACCAAAATAATCCAAAACTATTATTTGAAGTAAAATCTTTATATATTCATATACCTGCACATTTTCTTTGTATTTTAGTTCATGTATTTTGTCCTGCTTTAACTAAAATGAAGTGTTTAATAAACGTGTTTTTGTGTTTGCAGGAACTCTGAGCATGAAGACTTTAGATCGTGTGCCTGTAATAGAAGGAAAGACTATTACAATCCCTTGTCTGTATGACAATAAGTATAAATTAAACAAAAAATACTGGTGTAATGGGAATACTTGGCTTGGTTGCTCAGTTGTAGCTTATGCAAACCATAAAGGGAAATGGACAATAACTGATTATCCAGATCACAATATTTTTACTGTTACACTCAACAACTCAACATCCTCAGACTCTGGACATTACTGGTGTGCTGTGGAGATTGACAACCATGTAGATAACAGTAAATATTTGTATTTAACCGTTCAAAAAGGTAAAGTTTTTTTCGTGGTGCATTTATTTCTTGATATGTAAACAACAATTTAGATGTAACTAAATTTTTTATTTATATATTTTTTGTGTGTTTCAGCTCCTGATGTGTCTGTGTTGAGCAGCAGTGTATCTGGACATAAAGGTGATGATGTCAGTGTCCGGTGTTTCTACAGGTCTGCATATAAGAATAAACTCAAACAGTGGTGCAGAATCGATGATCTAACATGTTTCAGAGAGAAGAAGACTGACACATCCCAGAATTCATCAGTGCAGATCAGTGATGATGGTGAAAGCTCCTTCACTGTGCTGATGACTGGACTGAGACTCTCTGATTCTGGATGGTATTTCTGCTCTGTTGGAAATCTGCAGGTTCCTGTTCAACTTACAGTACATCAGGGAGAAAATAAAAACAAAAACACATGTAAGTCATTTATACAGTTACTTTCTGAAAATATAAAATGCATCTATTTAAAATTGGTGTCCTATCTTTATAAAACTATACACACAAATATTGTATGTTAATAACAAATTATATATTTAAGTATATATTCTGATGTGTGTGTGTGTGTGTGTGTGTGTATGTGTGTGTGTTATATTATTTTGTATTATGTTGATAATATGAATATATAAATAAATGACGACCTTTGATATAGAAGGGAGTAGAGCAAGGCAAGTTTATTTATATAACACATTTCATAAAAAGTGGCAATTCGAAGTGCTTTACATAAATAAGAATAAAAAGAGACAAGTATAAGAAAATAAAAAGCAAATAGTAAAAAGGATTAAAAACAGATTAAAACATGTTAAAAGAAAATAAAAGAATTTAAAAGAATGAAAAAAAAAAAAATAAAGACACAATAGTGCGATCTGTGGGACGTAGCACAGTGCTCATTCATTAAAAGCAGGGCTTAATTTGTGCCAGAACACGCTGGATCCAGATTCAGCACCTCTTTTTACTGATCCCCCTCCTCAACCGCCCTCCTTCCCCGTCCGCTGTTCACTTTCACGTCTGTGAACCTCCCCACCCCCCAAGTCAGTGAACATATATAAATAGGGTATATGCCGAGCTTGTGTTGTTCCCATACTGATAAACTTCCGGTGGCCTGTTATTGAGAACTTGTTTCATTTTATACGGTTCCTTTTACAGCATCTATGTTGTAATGCAATTAAAATACAACCAGTTAAATAAACTTTGGCATTCATTTAGTTGCTCAAGCGTAAAACGAGACAAAAAGCCGTTTACTCGCATGCACCTGTCAGAATCGGCAGGCTAGCGCAGAAGCTCCATTGAATATACTGGAGTTAAATAAATGCTCATTTTATAAAGACATGACGGGGGAAATGTAATTTAATGCAGTGCTTCTTGTACAATCTGAGACCCACTTTAAATCGGATATAACTCAGCTAGTGGAGATCGCTGATTTTTAAAGAAAACAGACCTTAAACGCACCAGATTTTGCATTGGCATTCAATTCGGCGGAAGCGCTTAACCCAGGTTACTGGCAAATTAAAAGTCCTATTAGCATGCTTCGGCATATACCCCATAAACTGAGCTAAACTGAAAAGATATTTGATGCACATGGACACCAAATACATTAAAATACTGCATGTGTACACAGTGGACATCCAAGTTAGATGATAATTGTTTTTTTTCAATGTAATCTCCATTTTTTTCAAGGAATTTCTGTGGCAATGCTAGTGGTGTTATATTGCTAGTAACAGTTTTTTACGAAACAGCAGAGGCAGTTCAAAACATACTAGCATTTATTTGAAAACAGTGATTGATATTAAAGAACAGCATGAGGTCTGTTACACAACAAAGATTGCAACTAAAATTTTTAAAGGTTACAGAAGTAAAAACAAAAAGAAGAAGAGAGTGAACAGGCCCTTCTCTTTAAATGACTTCAGTACGTCTGCCGCCATATGAGGTCACTAGTTTCTCTAGTTTTTCACAAGACATCACACGTCTTTGTAGTCTCTCACAGCAAAACATCAGTCTCCAATTCATCCCAAAAATGTTCATTCAGGTTGAGATCAGGTATCTGTGCAGGCCAGTCCAGTTTCTCCCCACTAAGCTTGCTTTGAGCACTGATGTGCAGTCATGTTGAACCAGCAATCCCCTTCTCCAAACTGTTCCCCCAAAGCCTGAAGCATTACATTGTCCAAAATGTTTTGGTATGCTTGAGCATTAAGTTCCTTTCTATGGAACAAAGAGTCTAAACCCATAATCCACCCTCCATTAAAATGTACACTTTGCACAATGCAGTCAGTAAGTGCTTTTCTTCTGACAACTGCCAAACCAAGACTCTTATTAGACTGCCAGATAGAGAAGTGTGATTGGTCACTCCCGAAAAACCATCGCCACTGTTCTAGAGTCAGTGTTGGTGTGTTTTACACCGCTGCATCCCACTTTTTGCATTGTACTTAGTGATGTATGGCTTATCTGCTTGGACATAGAAACCCATTCCTGAAGCTCTCTACTCACTGTTCTTGAGCTAATTTGAAGGCCATATGAATGTTGAACACCAGGGGCCTGTTTCAGTAAGGAGGTTCAAACAACTCAGAATTTAAACTTGAACTCTGAGTTGATTTACAGAGAAATTAAAAACTCAGAGTTTTCGGTTTCAGAACAGCTGATCTGAGTTGGGTCAATCAACTTCGAGTAGACCAACTCAGAGTTAAGCGCGCGCACCGTGACTTTAAAAAGGCATTATCAATGGAGCGCAGACATTACGAGTGACTATGGCAATATCTTATAAAAGAGATCACCATTTCTTTCTCCAGCTGAACTTGATACTTGATGTTCTCATGCAAAGTTATAGCAAATATGAGCGTATATATTTGAAAAGAAGCAGCCATCAGTGAAGAAGAGACAGTTAGCGTGGGAAAACAGCTGCTCAAGTTAATGCGTAATTTCACTTTTTAAGTATTTAAATATTTAAGTATAATAAAATAAGTAATGTAATGTGTGACGTTTATAATTTTTTTCTAAACTTTTATACACATTGATTAGTTTTAAATGATTTAACAGTGCACTTGTGTGTCTGCCTTTTTTATTGATCAAGTGATAGAGGTTAATATAACATTTAGAGGGTAAGCAGTACTAAAAATAATTTTTAGAAAGAATAATAATCCCATTAATCTAGTTACAGTGCATGTCGAAGGTAAATTTAATTTAAATATTTATTAAAAAAGGACAAGCCATTCTCGTACAGTTCTTCTGTGTGTGACTAAAATGTAGGCAATAGCTATGTTTACATCCAAATATATTACATGAAATTATGTGCAAAACTTGAATATTGCATAAAAGATGCGAATAAAGCAAAGATTTCATCCAACGAGTCAAAGAGAAAAAAATCGTAACTTCCTGATTAACTGCCGCCAAATATCAACATTAAAAACAGAATTTACTGTGTTAGAAGAAGCTGTGTCAATTAATTCTTTATTTAATTAATGTACATGGCCTCGATGTCAGAAGACAACGCTGAAACACAATGAACACGTGGGGGCGTCTGAAGCCATGAGACGCGGAGACTCTTGACACGCTCCAGACGTTCGGAGGTAATTAATAATATACACTAATACTGAAACAGTAAAGGCATTTTAGAATGACTAAAACAATATTTAAGACATGTTACAGTGTGCTCAGCCTGCTAGTTTGTCCATTTACACACATTTTCATCATCATTTGATCATGACCTTTTTAATGTACATAGTGTAATTTGTTCAGTAAAGTGTTTCCATCGTAGTTTATGCGCACATTTTCTATCGAATAAAAGTTTATCCTACTCAGTTATGCGTGTTTTTCATGCATATTTTAAAAAGTTATGTGCATCATGACGTTTCTATCAATCGTTTTTATGCACATCTCCAAAATGAGCATTAAAATAGGTGGGTGGAAACGTAAGGTTAAGGCGAGAAATACCGCTTCGTCTTTAACAAAGGGGTGGAGACCAACAGAAACTCTGAGTTTAGAGAATAAAACCTGCTTCTGACCAGGTTAGGTTCACAGAGTAAGTTACCACGGTAACTGACTCTGAGTTTAAGTTACCTCTCTTTCAGAAACAGGCTTGACTTACCCTGCTTTCTCGAGTTTAACAAACCTGCCATTTTGAAACGGAAAACCCAGGATTTCTCTCATTTCAGGGTTAAAATACTCTGAGTTTTCAGTTAACCTCCTTTCTGAAACAGGCCCCAGGTCGCCTTGGCTCTTATCATCAGATGTTTTTCAGCATACAAACCCAGGCGATTTGAGCAAAGTGAATGCACAAAATCACCTTCTGATGTTAGATGAACTTGCTAGTCATGAAAGAAACGTCAAATGAAACTTACCATCAAATTCTATTTGCCACTCTCCATAAAAACTGCCTCCTGCCAACATTATTGTAGTTGCTGTCGCATTTATCATACAGCTTTTTGTGTTCAGACACCAATTGAAAACGCAGCTCCACATTCATCTTGCCTCAGTGCATCACTTTCTTCATTGAATGAAAGTGAAGCTGTGCTTGTCTCGATCGTTTTGCGGTTGAGCGCCTCTAAATTGTGTTTAGTGTAACTTCAGCAGCTCCAGGTATGTAAACAAAAGTGCCAATCTCATCGGTGGAGCAGTTAAATGAGCAAAAAAACAAACATGAGTTGTTTCTTTACGAATTATGCTTATACAGTATGTCTGCTGTTTTGCACTTTGGCGGGCATGATCCCTTTGATGCCTTTTGACCAGTCACAAGGTTTTAGATGTTGCCAGAAGCATGAGCAAAAACCAACCCAGGCTCATTCTGAAAACGTAAGCGCTAATGTGCCACTAGAGCTACGTTTTTTACAGTTTTTATCTTCGCCCAAGTCACCAGAGGCTGCTGTGTACACTTTTTCAGATCTCAAATTTCTCTAGCGAGTGCTGTTTATGCCTGCTCTTCACAATTAAATCCACCAGAGGCTGCTGTCGACTGACTGACTGATTAACCAATGGAATGAATGACTGAGGGTGCGTCCGAAACCGCATACTTCCATACTATATAGTCCGCTAAAATCAGTATGTGAGCAAAGTACTATGTCCGAATTCATAGAATTCGAAAAACAGTATGCGAGAAGAACCCAGATGACCTACTACTTCCGGCGAGATTCTAGAGTGCGCATCCCATGCATGCTGCACTATCCCATGATGCTCGCGAGCGAATTCATGAATAGGAGTAAAGCGAAGTAAATTACGCAGGTACGTCACGTGACTATGTCAAAATGGTGGATGTAGTACGTCCGAATTCCATTCATTCTTTTCACATTCATACACATACTTTTCTAACGGCCGAGTAGTACGTTTAAATTTAAATGCAGTACCGAGTAGTAGGCGGTTTCGGACGCAGCCTGACTGACTGATTGACTGACCCACCCTCCTCCTTCCCAAAACCCAACAAACAGTTTTAGAAAAACAATCTAGAAAAAGAAAAGCCCTCGTCTGATTTTTACCACGTTTTCAAATTTTACCACATTCTCACCCTGTTATTTACTTGTTTATTATTATATTTTTTAATTTTGTTTGTTTTTACCTGCTTTCTGGAATCGTTCTTCACCGGACTCGAACCCCATTGTCATGATCAACTCAATCTGCGTCTCAAGTACGCCGACGTACATGGCAAGCTAACTGGACAAACTGGTAATAGTGAAAAAGCCGTCCACATGGAGGTAAGTGGTCAGCTGGTAAGTGCGAAAAGGAATGTGTCATACCGCCCAATAGCGTTTGTTTTAAAGATGAAATGCAGCCATACATACCTTTGGTTACATAATTCGAGATCTCCAGAAATATATATATGGCTACGTTTTCAGAATGAGCCTGTGTTGGCAAAAACTGTCCTGGTGTGCACTTCAGCATGCACTAACCCCACTCTATGATTTTACGTGGCCTACCACTTCCTCTTTGCTATAATAGCTCTGAAGTTAACCGTGGAATATTTAGTAGTGAGCTAATTCACTGAGCTCCTGTGAACAACCCATTCTACTACAAATATTTTGGTACACTTTACAATAACAGTACATGAATATTGATGTATAAATATATAAACTAAACATGACTTTATTATGAATTAATGATTCAGTTAAGGTGCGCACTAATCATGAACTAACTTTAACTACATAAATCGCAAGAGTTCATGTGTGAAAAGGGGCTACCTTAGTTACTTGTTTGTACTTGTTGTTAATTAAAGTATTAATTAAAATTTAAGTTTAATCTAAATGTCACCAACATGAACTCATGAGCTGTTAATGTATACTTGTTTCATGACTTTACTTGGAGGGGCACATCATCATTTACTCATTCTTATCTGCTCATGAACTCCTGTGTTTAAACTGTTCATGCTGACAAAACACTTTTACACTTTAACCTACACACTTTTAAACACTTTAGTTTAGACAGCAGTCTCCATGAGGAGCTGCCGTCCGTTTGTTTTCTTTTCTTCATTTCAAGAGTTCACACTTAGCCGATGATTGTTTTTAAAGCTTGTTTGGCGTGCTGTCCCGGGAGAGAGCCCTGAGCCTATAAGATCCTCGAGCCCTGGGCTCCCTCTCGCTGCTAGGCGAGAAGAGAGTTTGATCTCAGGTAGATCTCGATGACTCCTCCTCCTGCTTATTGTAGCTAAGTGTCAGATATGGATGCTGAGAAGGTGTACTCAGAGCTTGGCAAAAATATTTTGGATTAATTGTTTAGGGTGCTTGTTTTTAAACTGTGGGAGGAAACCGGAGGACCCGGAGAAAACCCATGCGAAAACGGGGAGAACGAGCAAAACTCCACACAGATATGTTGCCTGGTTTGGAAGGGAATTAAACCAGGGGCATTCTTGCTGTTAGGCAACAGCGCTTATCACTGACCACCATGTCGCTTGTTTGAAAGGAGGGAAAGTAGGGTTAAGTGGGGGGGTTTCTTCAAGACAAAGATACTGAGATGAGAAAAGTCTGGTTATTTATAATGAGTTAAGAATCATCTTATAGGATAATTAGTCATTAGCTAAAGTTGGAAGAGCTGTGAACAATCATAATTACGTGATCCTTCTGAAATTTGATTATAAATAAACTTCACTAAAATTATTTAAAACTTCGTCAGTTCTCCACCTCCTTCTTTCCAGCGGCCGGGTGGCCATGAACTTCGCTACAATATGTTTCTGGAGATTGCGAATTATGTAGGCAGAGCTACATATGGCTAATTTTCATCTTTAAAACGAACACTACGGGACGGTATGATGCTGTTCTTCTTCAAGCTTACAGCTGACCGCTTACCTCCGTATAGATGGCTTTTCCACTGCTGTCAGTTTGTCCGGTAGCTCGACAAGTACGTCGGCTGACTTGAGACGCAGATCAAAGTTGACCGCGATGACACGGTTTGAGTTGGGTGAAGAGAGGTTCCAGAAAGCAGGTAAGACAAAAACAAAAGCCATAAAACAAAATGAACAAGTAAATAACAGAGTAAGAATGTGGTAAAATCTGAAAACGTTGTAAAAATCAGGTAGCCGCAAGGGCTTTTCTTTTTCTGGATTGCTTTTGAAAACACTGTTGGTTGGGTTTAGGGAAGTGGGTGGGCAGGTTAATCGGTGCTTTTAAAAACACTATTGGTTGGGCTTAGGGAAGGAGGGAGGGGGGAACAGTTGGTTGGTCGGTCAGTCGACAGTTATTGCTTCTGGTGGATTTGTTTGAGAACAGCAGGCATGAATGGCACTCGTGAGAAAAATTTGAGAACTGAAAAAGCATACACAGCGGCCTCTGGTGGATTCGCGAAAACAAAAACTGCAAAAATATGTAACTCCTGGGACATATTTGGCGCTCTCCAGATGGGGTACGTAATCAGAATGAGCCTGGGATGGGAAATACACCTGTAGCCATGAAAGTTATGCCTAGTTCAAACTGCGTGATTTTAGCCCAGATTTTGGCTCGCCGACAGGTTTTGAGAAATCGCTGACAAATGCCTGAAATCACAAGCAAATCGCTGCTCGTGCACGTGAGTGACAATCACACAGTATGAACGATCAAAGATGCGACCTGAGAGAATCGCAGATGAGTCGCCGATGCCTGCGAGATATTTGGCGTGCTAAATATCTGGAGCTGTCGGCGATTCAAATCATGCCGTGTGAATTGAGTTTTGACTGAAAATAACATCAGCGATCACCTACAGCCAATGAGACAGCAGCTTACTTGTGTGTGCGTGTGTGTACCTGCTGCAGGCCAGCGGGAGGCTGGTGAAGAAGTTAAAAGCGCTCATTTTCGGTTTATTTGGACCCACGAAATGGAGGAAAAACTAGTGGAGGTTTGACAGGACTCAGGAGCAACCGTGTCTGTTTGACGTTTCATACAGAAAGAAATTAGTTTATTATCAACGTTGAGGAGAAATGGCTAATTCCCTTTAAACCCAGATGAGCAAACATGTACATGTTCCACCCTGTTAAAGGCTTCTTTCTCATTATGTAGTTAATAACAAAAGATATACTACGTGTTTTTGGCTGTGAGACGTAGTTTGGACGAAGTTGTCGGCGATTCTTCCTATAGTGAAGTCATGCAATGTGAATGTCCCTGTCGCCGATCCATCTTGCAGTGTAAACAAAGCAGCGACGAAACGCTAGCCCAGATAGTCATGCAGTGTGAAAACATCTGTGACACGACTAGTTTGAAAATCATGTAGCCTGAACTCTGCATTACTGGAACACCTAAATTCAATGACTAGGTTGCATGACCTAAACATTTGGCAGTATGTACTTGGTAAACAGTATTTGTTTATAAATAAATTACTTGTTTAGTCTTGTTTAACCAATTGTTTTGTCTTCCAATTTCAGCTGAAAGTGATAAAAGCTCTGATAATGCTGATCCCTTTTCGTAAGTAAATCTACAAAACCTAAATCAACAAATCAGATGACAAAGAACATTAGAGTATAAGATAACAGATTTGGTTTGAAGATCTTTCCATCTTTTAATTTAAAAAATCACTTTTACTGTTTAAATTTGGTCTGAGTGACATTTCAAGCTGTTATCTAATTTTGCTTTTAGTAACAACTCCTTAGGTGGAAACCCTTCAAATGGTACAGACAACCAAAAGAATGTGAAGGAGCCCGGGATCTGGGTTTTTCTGCTCTGTATTGCGGTGCCACTACTTCTGCTTCTGATGCTGGTTTTGGTAATCTGGAGGATTATACAAAAACACAGTCAGTTCCAACTCTTATATATTCAATTCTAAGCACTATTCCACAGCTAATGCCTCAAATCCAATTTCACAGGATTTATTGCGCCGTCGCATTACATTACTTTGGTGAAAACTCATATGTTAGTCCCCATGAATATCACTTAGCTCATTTGTGTATTATTTTGCAGTTAGGAGCATTTTGCATGCGGTTATAGTAATTCTTCCTATTTTAATATGATTCTTCCTGTTTTAAAGATTTGTCATCACAAAAGCCAGATGCCTGTTCAGTGGTATGTGTTTTAGGTCTTGCCATATACACAATATCAGGCAGATTTACAGTTTTGTACTTTGCTAATCAATCTTTTTAAGTATTATTGTCTCTTTTTAGGGACAGACAGAAGGTACATTGACATATGACATGGTGGTCTTCAAGACAGCAAAGAATGATGAACGAAACTCGATCGTAAGTGCTATTATATACACTCACCGGCCACTTTATTAGGTACACCTGACTAGTATCAGGTTAGACCTCCTTTTGCCTTCAGCACTGCCTTAATCCTGCGTGGCATAGATTCTACAAGGTACTGGAAATATTCCTCGGAGATTTTGGTCCATATTGACATGATAGCATCACAGTTGCTGCAGATTCATCGGCTGCACATCCATGATGCGTATCTCCCGTTCCAACACATCCCAAAGGTGCTCTTTTGGATTGTGATCTGGTGATTGTGGACGCCATTCGAGTACAGTGAACTCCTTGTCATGTTTAAGAAACCAGTTTGAGATAATTCGTGCTTTATGACATGACGGGTTATCCTGCTGGAAGTAGCCATCAGAAGATGGGTACACTGTGGTGATAAAGGGATGGACATGGTCAGCAACAATAATCCGGTAGGGTGTGATGTTGACACAATGCTCAGTTGGTACTAGTGGGCTCAAAGTCTGCCAAGAAAATATCCCCCACACCATTACACCACCACCACCTGCCTGAACCATTGAAACAAAGCAGGATGAATCCATGCTTTCATGTAGTTGACGCCAAATTCTGATTCTACCATCTGAATGTTGCAGCAGAAATCAAAACTCTTCAGACCAGGCAACGTTTTTCCAATCATCTATTGTCCAATTTTGGTGAGCCTGTGTGAATTGTAGCCTAATAAAGGTGTACCTAGTAAAGTGGCCGGTGAGTAAGTGCATAGCTGATGCAACTAATGCATATAAAGATATTTCCTTAGGGCAGCAATAATATAATCTACTTATACTCAAGCAGGTGATCTCATGGAAATGCATAATGTGCAGTGAGCTCAGTGCTTTTAAATTAGTGGTTCATTGAAATTCATCTCACTCTGTCTTGTGTTTTATTAAATCATTCTTAGAGCCATCCTCCTGACCAAGTTGAAGTGATCTACAGCGCTGTGAAACATCACTAATAACATGATCTTTGACACGCTGCTCGTTCATATTATGAATATAGCAATCTGAAGTAATGGCATCTTAGTCGGTTTTACACCGCCTACGATTGAAGCCACAAAAGACGTGAGAGATAAAAAGAGGAACCTTCTGCACATTTTCATACGTGTTGCATTTGAATGAGGGGTCATGGTTGTGTCATTTTTTTTTCATAATACTATTGTGAAAGTGTCACCTGTTTATTAGCACAGATGTCTGTGGAGGTGAATTTTGTTCCGCTTTGGTCTGTGAGAAGTAAAACTGAAACACGCCATGACCACATTAGAAAGGGAAGCAATCAGTTCCAGGCAATGTAAGACTTGTTGCACCACTTCAGAAAAGCCCAGAAAAAAGACACTCACTTGTTTGTTTTTGCAATTAAGCATTGTTTTTTTATTTGTGCTTTTTAATATTTGGTATTATAATGGTCTGTTGCATGAAATCTTATTAAAGCTGACATTTTTTTTTTTTTTGCCCTTTTCCACATTAATATGCTAACTGTATAATAATATTCATTGAAAAAATGCTGCAATTTGCTGTACATTAAGGAATATTTTAATGGCTTTGGAATTTTAGTTAATGCATAAAATATACTGTGTGGATATGGCTTTTGTGCTATGCAATTGTATTTTTTAAAAATGTTTATATATATGACAATGTGAAAAAAAGAGTTTTTGAAATTGTAGGAAATTTATTAAAAATAAAAAACCTAAAAAATCACATGTATTCACAGCCTTTGCTCAATACTTTGTTGATGCACCTTTGGCAGCGATTACAGCCTCAAGTCTTCTTGAATATGATGCCACAAGCTCGGCACACCTGTCTTTGAGAATTTTTTCCCATTCCTCTTTGCAGTACCACTCAAACTCTTATCAGATCTCTCTAGAGATGTTCAATAGGTTTTAGGTCTGGGCTCTTGCTGGGCCACTCTATTGATATTTTGGCGGTGAGCTTTGGGTCATTGTCCTGCTGGAAGATGAACAGTCGCCCCAGTCTGAGGTCAAGAGCACTTTGAAGCAGGTTTTCATTCAGGATGTCTCTGTACATTGCTGCATTCATCTTTCCCTCTATCCTGACTAGTCTTCCAGTTCCTGCTGCTGAAAAACAGCCCCACAGCATGATGCTGCCACCACCATGCTTCACTGTAGGGATGGTATTAGCCTGGTGAAGAGCGGTGCCTGGTTTTCTCCAAACGTATCACCAGGCATTCACTCCAAAGAGTTCAATGTTAGTCTCAACAGACCAGAGAATTTTGTCTCTTATGGTCTGAGAGTCCTTCAGATACCTTTCGGCAAATTCCAAGCAGAGGATTGGCTTCTGTCTGGCCACTCTACCATACAGGCCTGATTGGTGGATTGCTGCACAGATGGTTGTCCTTCTGTAAGGTTCTCCTCTCTCCACAGAAGAACGCTGAAGCTCAGACAGAGTGACCATCGGGTTATTGATCACCTCCCTGACTAAGGCCTTTTTCCCCCTACCAACTTGTTTTAGATGGCCGACCAGCTCTAGGAAGAGTCCTGGTGGTTCCAAACATCTTCCACTTTCGGATGATGGAGGGCGCTGTGCTCATTGGAACCTTTAGAGCAGCAGAAATGTTTCTGTAACCTTTCCCAGCCTTTTGCCTTAAGAAAATCCTGTCTCAGAGGTCTACAGACAATTCCTTTGTCTCCATGCTTGGTTTGTGCTTTGACATGCACTGTCAACCCTGGGACATATAGACAGGTGTACGACTTTTCAAATCATGCCCAAACAACCGAATTGACCACAGGTGAACTCCAATTAAGCAGCTGAAACATCTCAAGAATGGTCAGTGGAAATAAATAAATAAATATATATATATAAATTTGCAACAAGTTTTTTCACATTGTCATAATGGGGTATTGTGTGTAGAATTTTGAGCAAATCAATTAATTTAATCTATTTTTGAAAAAAAAAATGTCAAAGGCTGTAACAACAAAATTTAGACAAAGTGAAATGCTATTAATACTTTCCGGATGCACTTTAACTTAAAATATGGTTTGTAACAATAATTTGTGTTCGCTTTATTTTAAAATTCACCTTACCACAGCCAGTTCTTCTGGATTTTGTGGTTGGCTTTGAAGTTTGTGCAGGGGTTAAACAAAACACAGGCTATGATTTTATTGTCGGGTATTTAAAGGACATTTGCAGTCTTGTGAATTTATTATTTGTTCCTCAGCAAGTAGTTTTGGCTTAAGTTTCATAAAATATTTTTATTGTATAAAGCCTTCTGTATAACTACTTTAGTACTGTATCAGACTGTTTTTTTTTATTAATATGAATACAGTTGTTTTTATTGTTGTTAAATATTGTAATTGCCTGTATGGTTTAATAAATAATTTTTAAATGATAAAATGGTGGTATTCATTAGTTTAATATATATTAGACCATGCAAAGACTGTCTTTAAATGGTCAAAGATTTTATATTAAAAAACGAAGCATTTTCCTCAGTGGACAAATTTGTGTTGTCTCTGACTAACCCCAAAATAGTTTTAACCAGTTTGTTTGTCTTAGCTTTAGAAAATCTTAAAAAGCATTATTTGATAAAATAACCCAGATTTGGCAATTTGGAAACAAAAAAATAAATAAAATAAAATTGTAATTCTGACCAATTGTCATTTTTTTAAATAAAGACATTAAAATTGCTGTATTTAATTTGAACTGTTATAAGATTATTAGGCCTCAGAATAAAGCAAATAATTAATTTTGCTTAAACCTATGGCTTACCTAATAATTGTAACTTAGAGAGGTGTGTGTGTGTGTGCATGTTTGTTTACATCACTAATGGTTACCAATGTAAGCCAAATCATTTTGGTTTCGGTTAATAATCTTTTTTAAAGACAACACAACCTTCTTTTTTTTTCTTTTTTTCTTTTCTTTTTTTTTTACAACACAACCTTCTTGATACATAACATAACGCCTTTCCGCCATGAAAATTGAAATGCTTAATTCTGATTGGTCAGTTTACATGTCCCAAAATCAGTTTTAACCCAATAAACAATGAGGGCTGTAGCTGCTGTTCACATCGCCAATAACAAAACTGTCATGGCGTCGGTGCTCTTTTCAGTTGCATCACAGCGCACCTTTTGGCATTTTATTCAAGTAGCGCTTCAGTTATCGACAGTATTTACTGTAAACCAAAACGTTTACACTTTACTGTCAATACCAGACCTAAAGTGAAACTGTTACAATTGTTCACAGCTGTTCTATGTTATCTTGATGTTTTACCGTCACCAGTACTGCACAGGTAAGACGTGAAACACTTTCTTAGATCAATCGTTCACACCCAAAAGTGGCAAAAAGTATCTCCTAAAAACTGATTAAAGGAAAGTTAATAGGCTTTGTAAGGGATACTTTTATATTTAATATAGGCTTTGTTCTGAATGTAATGGTGACAAACAGGGAAAAATGCCTGAATATTAATTTAACATAATGGTAATCACTTCGACAATTTCTTGTTTATTTGATTTCAACATCCAAATGTTAGTGAGAAGAAGAATAAAAACCTCTTTGATAGAAACATTTACATTATGGATTGCTTTTACTTACCTTAAGTGTCTCATTTGTTTGCATCTTGAGTAAAAACAGCCCTGGAACTAAAATAGATGTACGGTTTTACAGAATACACAAGTTTGATGTGCATAAACCCAGTGGTGTACGTTAGTCCTAAAAAAATAAGTGGTGTACTATTACTACCCAACCCAAACTTTTAAAGTAGGCAAAAATTCTCAAGTATTTTTTCCCATGTATTAAATAAAACTGCCACTTTTTAAATTCAAAATGGCATAAATATAAACATATAAAAAAAACATACGGGCAAATTTGCATATTTCACTATCATAATAGGCCTAAGTCATAATAGGAAATAATTTTTAATATAATACAACACATGATGTTTCACTCTGATGTCACTCTAATTTGCGGTTAGATGGAGGATGTAGATGTGCTGCACACGAAAGTGGAGAGCGGGGGGTGGGATGGCGGGGCGTTGGATGGCGGAGGAGTGTCGCGGATGAAAGTAAAGAGTGGTGGGATTTGTCGCGGACGAAAGTGAAGGAGGTTGGGGAGTGGCGGAAGAAAGTGAAAGTGAACAGCGGACGGCCAAGGGGATCAGTAACATTTGGTATACAGTTAAAGAGGACGCGAATACACATTAGGGAAGTATAATCAGCAAAACAAGTGAGTATACTACTGAAAAATCCAGCTTAAACCAGCCTAGGCTGGTTTTAGCAGGTTGACCAGGCTGGTTTTAGAGGGGTTTTGGCCATGTCCAGGCTGGTTTCCAGCCATTTCCAGCCTGGTCTTAGCTGGTCAGGCTGGAAAATGACCAGCCAAATCCAGCTAAAACCAGCTTGACCAGCCTGGTTTAAGCTAGATATAGCTGGTTTTGGGCTGGACTCCCAGCTTGGCTAGGCTGGTCAAGTTGGTTTTAGCTGGTCATCTCCCAGCCTGACCAGCTAAAACCAGGCTGGAAATGGCTGGAAACCAGCCTGGAAGTGGCCAAAACCCCTCTAAAACCAGCCTGGTCGACCGGCTAAAACCAGCCAACCAGCCTAGGCTGGTTTAAGCTGGATTTTTCAGCAGGGTGCCGAGGGTATACGCAATAATTGATCCTCAGAAGTTGTGATGCGCAAACAGCTCATGGAAAAAAGTAGGCATACGGAATATACGTGCGGATAGCCCCGACTACACTACTGCACAAACCCCCATAATGAATCTAAAGCAACTTCATTTTATTTTAGTTCATGCTGACTGTCACACATTCAGTTTCTCTGGTTCTCCACACACTAGCAATATGAATCAAACAAAAGCATTGTTTATTCGGATAAAATAGGTTGATATTTCATAGACATTTGACAGAAATACACAAACTATTGTATTGTTGAGCGTAAGCTTTACACCTTGAGATGTTTCCACAAGCTGTAATGAATGCTTTAATACAGGAGACCCTGATGGGATCACTACTCAATTGTCCGTGTAATGCCGAGGAAGAAAAAAAGCGAAGAAAAAATACCCACACTCTCAAACAAAAACCAATGTTGTAATATGAAAGAAACCGGCATATCTAATAACTTACAAAAAGCTAGCTGTGAATGTAGAGTCCCGATTGTTTATTCACAGTGTTATTCCAACAGAGGTCAAGAGTATGAAAGCAAACGAGCCTCAGACTGAAAACTGATGCGATTGCTTCATTTGTAGGAACACATCACCCCTCCGCTTTTTTTGTTCTTGTTTATAGCAGGCTTCTTCCTTTATCTTCCGCTGCCTGCCGTTCACAAATAAATACACACAGGAGGAATGCATCTGAAAAGAAAGGATGCTAGAAATATGTAGACAGCGTTCGCAAGAAGGACATTAAGCTATTCACACTGCCTGATAGATAATGCTGGACAAAAGGACTTCACCACACAAATGTCCTTTTCTGTTGTCCTCGTAGTCCTTATCCAAAAGGTCATTATCACTGACCTCAGCTTGGATTACTTCATTTCACAGTACAAGACAAAAAATATTCAGTTTTTTTTTTTTTTTTGGTAGTTCCTCCTTGCAACCTCTTCTTTTAAAGGTAACAGCTTTCATTCCATGAGTATTTTCTTTTAGAAAGATACAGCACTGTTATCACGAAGGAATAGTTCATCCAGAAATTCATTCACCTTAAGTCATTCGAAATGAAGGCCATGATGGATAATAGGCTGTTAAAGTCTTCATGATAAAGTTTATTCTACTAGCACACATTGTTAGTCTTTGGGCCCTATCATACACCAGGCATAAAAAAGTGCAAGACGTGTTTGCCGTGATTTGTTGCTACTTTCAGACCAACGCAACACAAATTTTCCCGTTTTGCGCCATTGTTGTTTAAATAGCAAATCTAGTTTCTATTAATTTAAGACAATTTGCTTCAGTAGGATATTTTTATTATATTTATATTGTTTTAATAAAAACAAGTTTAGATTTGTCCACCTGTCAGGTTTTAGACCATATTGGGCACAGGACGTGTGTTTAGATATAACTCAGTTTTTTGACCGCACTTCATTATTATTGTTCATTTATTAACTTGCTGGAAATTAGACCTGAATTTAGAAATAGTTTTGGAACATATCATTGCTTAAACTAAATTAAATATGTAAGCTACTGGATGTTTTTTTTAGTGGAGTGTGTACAACACCGTTTCCTTATCCACGAAAGTAAAGGAGTAAAATAAAGTGTAAAGTAAAGAGGTCAAACCAATGGAGGAGGCTCGTTCTTTATCCTTGCGCTGTTTAACTTTTTTCTTGCAAGTGTTCATTTTTTTCACTTACAAAGTCCACCATGTAAATAGCAAATGCGCCATGGCGCTATGCAATTGACTCTTAAAGGGAATGGGAGAGGAGACTCTGATTGGTTTAATGCACAATATGCTCAGGGCTTGACATTAACAACCGCCAAATGCGGGTAGATTTCAGCTGCATGAATCGGTCTAAAGCAGACATTTACCCTGACATTCAAATAGCCTAGTTTTTGGCTGTTTAACAGTCTTTGGTTTCATGAATTAATTACTTTTTATTCCAGTTTATCATTTTTTGGCTAAGCACACAGTTATGATCATTAAATATTATTTCATATTTCCATGTTAACCTTATAAAATTAAATTAAGGTGCAGTACAACCAAAACGATGTTGGTAACCAAATCTTTTTTGGGGCTGCAATAACATCCTGTTATTTCTAAATATCCAAAAAGTGCCAATACTAGCATAAAAGTTAATTTGTATTAATTTTTATGTTGAATTAAAAAAGTTTTAATTTCTATAACTAACATGCAAAAGATATGGCCCTTTTTACAGTAATTTGCTGTAATCATGCCACCTGCTGTAATTTTTTACTATAAAATTATAAATACTACATATTACTGTGAATTTTACAGTTAAATAATGTGAAGCTATACTAATGTAATTTACTGTGAAAAATTACAGTAACTTGTTGTAAAAACCTGGAAATTTTATACAGTGTGTGGCGGGTAAGATAGACAGTTTTACTAGCCACTTTGGCTGATTGAAAATAATTTTCCCGGATAATAATGCTTAAAAGAAGGGCTCGACAATAAGGATGGTCCAATGTGCATAAAAAGGCGATTGTGGAATTGAGAAGCAACACGACTGACAAAAATAATTGCGTTCGCACGAGCAATAGTAAGCAGATGAATGCTGTATGAGAGGATAATCACTCGATGATTGGCTCATCGTTATTGAGCTCATATACGACACACAAAAAGTGCAATGAATGAGGAGGCATGTGGAGATAAAGCAAAATCTAAATCAAGTAATTTTAGCATGTCAAAGTCATATTTATGTGTATAAAATATATTTTTTCCAACAATAAAATTGTGGCTAGTTAAAATAGCGAGTGGTTAGTAATGTTGGAAAAATACTAGCCACAGTGGCTGGTGTTCAAAAAAGTTAATTTCAAGCCCTGGTTATGCTCAAAACACACCCCTAACTCATTAAGAGAATAAGCACAACCCTGTTAGACCATGCGCTTGGGCACAAACTGTATTTTTCCATCCCTAAAATGGCTAAATGGATTCGGACACAACCTTAATGCTTTTGCGCCTTGTGCTTTAGACTTTTTGCTAGAGCGTTAAAATAGAGCCCTTTATGTAAAATGAGTAAGCTTAATCCACTGACAAAAACAAACGTGTTGTGGTAATCTTTAATCAAAATCTAACCAGCTTCTGCTCAGAAACAGAAGTCCTTCTCTGATGTCAGTTTGATGACTTGGGTGAAATAGGCCTGTCACAATATTTATTTTTATAAACAATATTTTTGTCGATATGAGGATGTGACATCACAATGCAAGTACACTCTTCCAAAGGACACATATTTATTTTATACTTAATTTTTTTTTATTTAATTATAGTCATTTTAACTATTTAATAGTCAGGCATTGGAATCAGAAAGTGAAAGTGCGTATCCTAATTATATAATATTAAATGTTAACAAAAAAGTGCAAGGTAAAAAGTAAGGAGCTGCGATATCAGCCAGCAGATCTTATTTTTAGTTGTCAGACACCCACAGAATAATAGTAATTCTATAGTGGTTTTAACCATACTGACACCTCCAGTAGAGATAGAGAAGTTGCACAATCAGCTAACGTATTGATGGAATTGGTTTGTATTGACGATATATGTTGCATACTGTAACCAAATATGATTGAGATCATGTCCATGTGTTGTGTGATAAGTCCATATATCGTTAAGCCTGGGGTAAAACATGCTTAGCCACACCCCTCCAACCCTTAGTTTGCTGCTAGTGAAAGACGAGAGGATTCAGTTTCAGTTGGAAAAATTTCCTCATATTGAAATAAAAGTCTGCAACAACTTCCAATTCACACAGACTTTTAAATTACATTTAAACCACAAGAATATCTGATAGTTTCATTAAATGTCATATCGTAAATACTATCGTAAATAATATCGTAAAATATTACTAATATGAATAAAATAGTTGGTTTTTAAAAACTGAATCTTTTTCTTTGAAAGAACAAACAGAACATGTACTTGTAAACATCTTTTGTAACAACATAATAATACATTTCAACTAATTTGTTTCATCCTTGCAGAATAAATGCATACCTGCAGTGTTGGGCGCGTTCCTTTAAAAGAGTAATTAGTTATAGTTACCTCTCACAAATAGTAACCATTATAAAAGTAACTAATTACCAAGGAAAGTAACTATTGCGTTACTTTTAAAAAAAAAATTATTTGCCTTATGACTATTAATGTATGCTCATGTTATCCCATGCGTTCTTAGCCACTAATTTTGTGGCAGCACGTGACAACATGAGGTGCTTCGTTAGATTAGAATTACTAGTCACCGATGCAAAGAGTCTCTTTTTTTCATGGGCATAAGTTGCACAATACATAAACATTCATGTCTTTCACCACAACGAGAGAAAAGTAGTGCTTATTTTTCCAGTTTGCAAGCGCTAGCTTTGAACTTGTTGGATTTGCCATCGGTCTGGCTCCTGGTTGCTGATCTGTGCCACTAACTGCGTGCGTGCTTGTGTGAACACCCACACTACTCTGCCTCTGATTGGCAAATATACTCTATCTAAGCCAGTGGTCACCAAACTTGTTCCTGGAGGGCCGGTGTCCTGCAGATTTTAGCTCCAACCCTAAATCAAACACATTTAAAGAGCTAATCAAGCTCTTACTTGGTATACTCGAAACATCCAGGCAGGTGTGTTGAGGCAAGTTGGAGCTAAACCCTGCAGACACACCGACCCTCCAGGACCAAGATTGGTGACCCCCTGATCTAAGCCAATCATCACGTTCTCAGCTACGTACACCACGTTCACAGACACACCAATCATCATCACTGGTTGATTATGTGTTCAGAGCCAGAGAAGCCAAATGGCTGAGAGAGACCAGCCTGATTCCACGAGAAAACGTAAGTATTTTACGTTTTGCCAGTTTAATGGCTAATTCTTACGAATTCATACGAGTTCAGTCGTACGAAATTGTACGATTTTAAAAAGGAGGCGTGGCACCTAACCCCACCCCTAAACCCAACCGTCATTAGGGGATGAGCAAATCGTACTAAATGGTACGAATTAGATCGTACGAATTCATACGCATTGGCCACTAAATGAAAAAGATACGAATTGCGGTGAGATTGTGTTGGAGAGACTCTGCTATAGTGTTTTTAATTACAGTAACTTTTTAACATTTTATTGTCAGTAACAATAACGGTGTTGTAACGGGGGAAACTCATTTGATTACTCGTTACTGAAAAAAAGTATCGCCGTTAGTAACGCTGTTTAATTATTCCCATCACTGATAATGAGTAAATGTTCCTTACATGACCAAAAATTAGCACATTTGCAAAACTGTATGCTGCTGCTTCTGCTAAAACTGGTTGAATATGAAATATATAGAGTATTTTAAAATGAATTGCATGGCATTCAATAAGTCTCTATTTGCGATTCTATAGAAAAAAAATGTGCAAATGGTTTCTGGATGAACTATTCCTTTTAAGCTGCTGTGTGCAATTCAGTTTCATGTGCTGAGACGATTATAATAGACATTTAAGCTTGGTTCCCTAAAGAGAAGTTAACAATGATATTTTATTGTACATTTGAAGAGCTCGACATGTACCCTTTAAAATGAAAGGTTCTTTATGGGTCCATCAATGTCAAAAAAGAACTTTTATTTTTTAAAGATTAACAATGACTCAGTGGTACAACCGGTTAACTGCGGAAAATGTTGAAAGTCAGCCAATATTTTGGCAAGTCTATTTCATTGTACTCAAATTGCACACCGCAGCTTTATAGTGTTATTCCCTTATTTCTATTCAAACAAACAAAAAAACATTTGTGCTCTCTGAATAAAATAAAAATTCAGCAGGATAGTATCCAACAGCGAGAAAGCCAGATTAGCAGTGAATCTCATACGCAATCTGCGTATCAAACAGCAAGCTCTGGTTCATGAACAGCCCTTCGGGATCAAGCGGAGGTGCTTCTCCCCCTTCTGCGGGAGCCCTGCGGGGTCCGATCCCTCCGGCTCGTCCTGGGGTCAACACACCCTGACACTCGCTGGCCTTTAGAGTTGCAGATCCCTGTTGGATGCACATCGGTTGCGGAGCCAGCACCGGTTTGGCGCGGTTTAACACGTACATCTCATGGCCCCGTTCATCCCGGTACTCTTCAAGCTGAGCGAATGTGGTGGGACCATCAGAGTAGTCGTTGACATAAAGGATGCTTTCCTCTTTGCTAGCTCCATATCCGCCCTCCTCTTTCTGCCTCTGTCGGTGTCGGCTGTAGATCATGCAGAGCAGCAGAAGGGCAGTCAACGCCAGCAAAGAGATTCCCACTGCGATTGCCGTCTGCGTAGCAGTGCCCAGCGCATTAAAGTCCATGCTTTCGAGTTCATACAGCGGCTCCTGACTCACATCCACCGATGAAGGATGATAGTAAGATGAGGAATGCAGTCGAGGCCAGATTTCTGAGCGGGATGACGATGAAGACATGTTCACCGAAAGGTGAAAAGTCACACGAGCGACACCGCCAGGATTCCACGCTTCACATTCATAGCGTCCCGCATGCGCCACTGTGACGTTACTAAGAAATAGCATTCCGCTTCCTGTATCAGGATCGAAATTTTCCCGGTCGGCTCCGTCATCAGCTCCTCCTCTGATCGGTCCATGACTCGATGGTCCTCCTTTTCCTCCAGGCCTCGCTGTTACCAATCTACCACCATTCCTTGTGTCTCCATCCATCCCAACCTCCTGCACCAGACCTCTGGGAGACAGCTGGGCTTTTCCGTGAGACGCTTTCCTCCAGGTGACTTGTGGTTGTGGGTATCCGGACGCTTGGCAGGACACTCGGAGACTCTCCCCTAAACGTACTGTCAAATGGCTGGGTTCTAGTTGGACCACGGGTGGGATGCAAACAAGGCTGTTTGGAGGAACTTCGACCAGACTGAGGTGGGAAAGCCGCGGAGGTTCGGCGCACAACATCCGGCGCTCGGCTGAGCTTAAAAGCCTCTGACCTTCTTCGTTTATCCAGCCACGCAGCCAGTGTAGAGCGCAGTCGCAGCGCCATGGGTTATCTAGGAGAGCAAACACAATATAAGCCTCTAAAAAACTACTGCTTTATAAAATATGGATGCAAACAGAAATATTTTGCGCAAATGTAAAGCCGGATCTGACATCTAAATCCAATGTCAGCGTGGTGCTTTTGCAGTACTCGTACAACATTGCAGAAGTGTACTGTGGTAAAGGATTGGATCATGAATATCAATTAGTTTACTTAAAGGTTATCTACCAAAGGAAACGTTATTTAATTAATATTTATGAGGTAATCTCATGGGGCGCTTTTCTTGAGAGAAAAAATCTAGACAGAGGAAAACAGGGCTGGAATTACTAACTGTATATGCACCAGTGCAAACCAAATGCATTGCTATTACATCTAGCAGTTTGCATTGATTCACAGATATAATATGTAGGTTTTCCTGATTGTAAATTAGTTTAGTATTAACAATGTGATATTGTAGAATAGTGGAAATCAAAATGATCTTATCATTTACTCTCACTCCAGTGGTTTTAAACCTTTATGAGTTTGTTTTGTTCAACATTATAGAAGATATTGAAGAGTGCTGATAGCTGGCACACGTTGAGTTCTGTATAGGGGTGTAATGGATCATGGTTTATCCGTGATCCATTAGGATCCAAAGTTCGGAACACACGTTGACCCGCTGATTAATGAGTTTTTTTGAATTCATAGGTTAATCCAACATTTATAACAATTGCAGAGAGATCGCCTCCAGTGTCATTCAAATCATGTGGATGAAAGCCTTTTGGCTTCCCTGTTAAATATAATGATGACGGAAAAGTTGTGGGACATACCTAAATGTTTTCTTAGGCTATTAATTAAAGGTGTTTTCTGTCACTGTTTGTTTAGCCTGCATTAATGCATTCAGTGTAAAGCTGCATGATTAAACATTAAAAGATTATGATCGCAATTCAAACCGGCGCAACATGAATGATAAATGATAATGATTTGCAGATGTTTAATAAACCTTCAAAGCGCTGCATTGAAATCTGATCGAGAGAGATTCAGTTTTTACACTTTTTTTCAGTTAGTTACAAACAATTAAATAACACAGAAGTACTGGGAGAACAGTTTAGAGTTCAGATATAAACACTGATGTTTATGGTAGAGATTAAAACCCCCCGTTTAATGGAGCTTGACGCTGGGGAACGTTGTAGCATTTACATTGTGTAACCAATGTAATATATATATATATATATATATATATATATATATATATATATATATATATATATATATATATATATATATATATATATAGGTTTTTGACTATTACTACTATTTGCCTTAGTAATGTTGATAATTTAAAATAAAATGAGTACATATTAAAAATCCTAATATTCCTGAATGTATTGTGAAATAATATTTAATCATTTTCGATACTGAATGATATTAAACATTATATCGTGATAATTTTTTTTCCTGTACCGTATTTCCTCTAGGATTTTTTTCCAGCTGTGGTGGCAGATCTTTTACACAGATCTACCAACTAATTGTGGCATCAATGACAAATGTTTTGAGCGCAGTATTACACGTTGAGATCGCATTTATGTAATACGGGCATGCAAATCTCTTTGCACCAATTTCGACTGTTCGTGCACAAAACTTCTTGCACGCCCCCTCAAATATACGCTGCTCAATTGCAGATTTTCTTGTGCGCTCTCAAATAAACGCTGCTGAAGTGCGATTAATGCAATTGTTGCAAATATGTCTCCAACATTTTTTGGATTTGCTAGGAATATTTATAAATGTTTCCAATAGACAGAGCGGTATTAATGTGTCCTGAAGTAAAGTGAAACATCTATAAACTCCAGCAAGATATTACTGTATGAAGAACCATAGACCTTTATCTATCAAATAAAATATAATTATGTTCATCTTAACTGAAAGCTACGTCGTGTTTGCTGGCCTCATTCATCGCGCAGCCCTGTCAGTCAGTCAGCATGCCACCTTTAAGGGTTACAAATAATAAACAAATAATGCACAGCCCTATTATGATTACAGAAAAGTTTCACTGTTATGATTCACTTACCTTTTAATATGTTGTGGTACAATAATTACCCGTTTTTAAAAAAAACAACGACTGAATGTTTTGAATGAGAAGCTGTAACGTTAATTCAGCCTTGGCAGGATGAATTTTGGTGTGGCGCCCCGCCATGGAAGAATGAATGTAGCAGAAACCATGCTGTATCACCCAGCCCTAATTAGGTCTCTTTCAATGCGGTGCATTTCCATAAATCATAATAAATTGCAAGCATATATAAGGACAAAAGCGCAGAGATAAAAGTCAAATAAACTGTGCTTAATGGTTTTCTGGAGCGTATAACAGTATACATGAGAAATTAAACAGTCCAACATAAAATAACATAGTCATCATTGTATAAATTATTTTAAAATAATAATATTTAATGTCTTTCATCTTTAAATCTTGAATAAATAATGTAATCCTGCGATGTGACTATTACAGATACACACATTATGATATCAATGCTCAAACGATGTATAGGGTATATGCAGAGCTAGTGTTGTTCCCATACTGATAAACTTCCGGTTACCTGTTATCGTTACTTTTTTTTTCCATTTTAAACGATTCCTTTTACAGCATTGATGTTGTAATGTAGTTAAAATACAAATAGTTAAATGGACTCTGGCATTCATTTATTTGCTCAATCGTAAAACGAGACAAAAGGCTGTTTACTCGCACACACCTGTCAGAATCGGCAGGCTAGCGCAGAAGCTAGCGCAGAAGCTCCATACTGGGTTAAAATTAATGCTTATATTTTAAAGACATGACGGGGGAAAATGTAATTTAATGCAGGGCTTCTTGTACAATCTGAGACCCACTTTATATCGGATATCACTCAGCCTTTAGAAATCGCAGATTTTTAAAGAAAACAGACCTTAAACGGGCCGTTTTTGCAATGGCAAACAGTTTTTCCGGAAGCGCTTAACCCAGGTTACTGGCAAATTAAAAGTCCTATTAGCATGCTTTGGCATATACCCCATTGTGCAGCCCAATTGGCAGGTATGATTTACTGTCACTTTTAATAAATTTGATGCATTTTTTTTTCCAGAAAGTTTCTCACCAGTGACTCTCAGCACCTGCAGGCTGACCAGAGGCTTCAGTGAAGCGGGACTCAGAGTTCTCAGGTTATTTCGGCTGAGGTCCAGAAGAGCCAGCGAGGACAGTCCCACCAGAGCCTGATCTCCCAGCACCTCCAGCACATTCTCCTGCAGATGAAGCTCCTGCAGCCGCTGCAAACAGTGCATTAACATTTCAATACGGTTATTACGGTGAGCATAATCGCGGCTATCATAAAAACACACTTTCTAAAGCATTCTGGCTCTATGCAGCATCATCAGTTTTCAGCTGAGCGTCTCCGTTTAATTTGCATATTGCTGAAAAAGTCCTTTTTAATTTAGCGTTTTATGGCTTTTTGCAGTTTTTTTACTGCTTTTCTGTGGTTTGCACTTCTCTTTCACTCTCATGAGCTTGTGCACGCTTTATGTGGTTAAACTTTATGTAAAGCTTATGTAGAAATTTTAATTTTAAAAATTAATTTACTGATACAAGCACACATGTGGATATTAGTATTTCATGTCGTTCTCAGTGTCAGGGTAAAACATTTGCACAAGGTTTAAACAAAAAGAAGAATGTGAAAAACACCTTAAGCAAGATTTGTTAACCACATTAGTGAACAAACTTACACTTTGAGTAAACGATGACGGAATATTATGTTAAAATACTGATGTTAAACACGAACACAAAAATTGCACACATACATATAGTGCGTATGTGTGTATAGTGTATAGTGCACATATATATATATGTGTGTGTGTGTGTGTGTATGTGTATATATATTTATGTATATATATATATATATATATATATATATATATATATATATATATATATATATATATATATATATATATATGTGTGTGTGTGTGTGTGTGTGTGTGTGTGTGTGTGCGTGTGCGTGTGTAAACCATTATTTAAAACAGTCAAAATATGGTCAACCATTTGGTAGAGCAGACAGTAAATAAATCAATTTCTCAGTGAATATAGGCAATGTATTTTAGTGTATTTGAACAAAATCAATTTAAATAGATATATTTATTAAAATAATATTGTTGTCACTGAAAACAAAAGACAATGCATTCAAATTTATGTAAAATAGTGGAAAAATATAATCTAACAAATTTCAACAACATTTTATACATTTTTTGTTTCTCTTGATTTTTGCTATATTTTTCATTTGTTTTTTTTCTAATATATAAATTTGGGTGTATTCATTTTGGACTGTGATCAGTTATTTTGTTAAAGAGCCCATATTATACATGAAATAAGGTCATATCTTGGTTGTAAGGGTCTCCAACAACAGTCTAATATGCATGCAAGGTCAAAAAACACTTTCATGGTCTTATAATCTGCATTTATTTTTACCTAATTATCCCAGCGACTCCTGTATGAATCGTCCAGTGATTCATTTGTTCCCAAACCCCTCCTTAGCGCGGAGCTAATCTGCGCTGATTGGGCCGATGACAGTCTGTCGCGATTGGTCGACTGCCTTCAGTCAGAGAGGGAAATGGCCAATAGCTAATCAGCAATTTAAAAAGTAATCACAGTTCATACACGCTCGATAGTGTAGGCGTGGACTTTAGCTGCCACACTATGGCCAGTGGATAGTGCCACGGATAACCGAACGAAGGAGACAGTCGTGTACTCGCCATACCACACACACACAAAAACACACACACACCTCCGGATGACAACGCTCCTGCTTCAGCCCGCACCCGCCAGGTTTTAGCCTGAGAACCCGTTCCGTTTTCTGCCCGCCGCGCCCGGTCCCGCTAGAGCGGAGAACACAACCAAATATCACCCAGTATACAGTCCAGACAGCCAAGGTGTCTGTATAAAAACACACACACAGCACAAAGTACACAAAGCTCGTTCGTTCGTTCGCTCTCTCTCTCGCTCTCTCTCTCTCTCTCTCTCCCCGCGCCAGATTTCTGCGGCGCGGGAATACATTTCCGAATAAATCGCGGGAGCAGAACTCTAGCACGGAGCTCCATAAACAAACAGCACGCGTCGCGTTTTTAACGTGACTTTGCACGCGATAAGATAATATATCCAGTTAACCTGATACAGTACACGCGGTTACAAGTAACAAATCACAACTAAATACATTTGCAAGCTAGAGTAAACGAGGCAACAACTTTAACCGCACGTACTTACACTTGAGAAATGTAGGAAGAAACCCATCCTGACGTCCATCAGTTACTCTTTACTGATCCTTCCTTTAACAAACTCAGATGAAGTATTCTTTGTAGCATGTAGCTTCCAGAAGTTTCCAACTGCTTGGTTATAATGCTGAGGTTTCATCTTTGGGTAGAGACTCAATATATCCATCTGCAGTGTGACTTCAATCGACCGGCATGTTTGTGTGCGTGTGTTTGTGGGTGTGCGTGTGTTTGTGGGTGTGTGTGTGTGTGTGTCTGGGTTACTGCGTCAGAGGGCGGGGCCTCAGGTTTGAAATCTCCCGGGTTTGCGCGTGCACGTGAAAAACTTTGTTTCGTTCGTACGTCATGGCGAAACACCTAATGAGTCGGTATCAAGGCGACTCGTTTGAAGCACTATGATTCGACTCTTTTATAGATGAATCAACAGTTTTAAACACTGTATTCTTACAGATTTAAGCCTTAGCTGGATACTTCACTTCACTTAGAGCTGTGTTACACACTACATGGAGGGGAATTTTCAAAAACCCATAATATGGGCTCTTTAAGATAAGCAGATTTGGCTTCAGTACTGACTAATATAATGTTTATGCGCAACTATAGTATTCTATAGCTTACCATAGAAAATATGTATCTGTCTATCTATCTATCCAAAGCAGCTTAAAAATCATCAGAGAATTTCTGTATATAAGTGAAGTTTCACAAACTAATTTCGAGAGGAGCATGTGAAATAATTGATCACGGCTGGTCTCATATCCGTAATCAGCAATAATCCAATCAGATTCATCCAAGCCCACAATAAATAGACTGATTTCGCCCTGCTGCTTCTCTTCGTGTCGGAAGAATACCCCTTCCCCCCCATCTCCTACTTTTTCTCCTTTTACCAGGGGGAGCTCTCGAGACCTACCTGATCTTGGATCTCCTTACATGCTAATTGACCAGGCAGGAGCCCTAGGCTCGATTATCTCTGAGCTCGGGGTACTCTCTCAGGACAGCATGTCAAACCTGCTACTGTAATAGTGTCAAGCAATACCTAAATGTAAACTTATGAAATGCTATGACAATTCTACGTCCCCCCCCCCCCCCCCCCGCCTCTGAGCATACAGAAAAGGAGAGAGTGTGTCCTACAGGTGGTTTGTCAAGCCCACTCACCTGTGGTCTTGACTTAAACTAAGTTTCAGCAAAGGTTTGAGTTTGACCCCCTTTGCAGTAAAGCGTTTGTGAATGCGCAGACAGCCGCTGGTGTACCTGCAGTCCGCGGAAGGTGTAATCCTCCAGTCTGTTGATTTGGTTTCCTGCAAGGTACAAGATGCGCAGGTGATCGAGGCCCCGAAATACGTCTGCCGTGATCAGGTGAATGCGGTTCCCGTTGAGAGCCAGCTCCAGAAGCAGACCGAGGCTCCTGAAGGCCCCGGGCTCCAGCGTGCTGATGCTGTTGTTCTGCAGGTAGAGGTAGTGTAGCTGGCCCAGGTCAGACAGGTCCCGTTGGCGGATCTGACCGATGGCATTGTCCTGCAGAAAAATGGTCTGAACAACACACAGAGACATGAGAAAAACATTGGTTGTAGTAGTAAAACTTTATTGTCCTTGACAGGAAATTTGTTATTTGTATTGCCATAACAGTTAAGAGTTATTATTTACTGTTTAAGTTTTTTTTTTTTTGTTAAAATCATCATAATATATATTTATATTTATATATAGAACAGTTTTCGAATTTGATTGGCTGAAAGCTGTGCAATATTCTGCAATACCAGCACTCATACAGCCTCTTCACCCTTGTCTATTACTCCGCCGACATAGTGACAGATCAATAAACTCACTACAGTTTGACAAATAATGCAGCTGTTGGACAACATAATGTAGCTTTGAGGCTTTTTTTAGGCAAGAATGTAGTTGTTTAGATTGCAACTATGCAGTTTATTTATAAGAATAGTGGCTATTTTAAATGTTGAAAATTTCTGAGATCTTGTGCGCTCTCAAACAAACGCTGCTGAGTGCGATTTAGTGCATTTGTGTAACGAGTAGGTCTCTCCAGCATTTATTAGATTTGCTAGGAGTATTTATGAATGTCTTCAATAGACCTACAGAGTAGCGTTTATGCGACCTGAAGTAAAGTGAAACGGCTATACGTCGTGTTTGCTGGCATCACGCACCTGTCAGCCAGTTAGCACGTCACCTTAAAGGGTAAACAAATGACGCACAGCACTACTACGAATACAGAAAGGTTTGCGCTATTATAATTCACTTACCCTTTAATGCGTTTGGTGGGATTATTACCCGCTATTAAAAAATAAAATGTTTTAAATGAGAAGCTGTAATGTAGCCAAATTTTGGAGTGGCGCCCCGCCATGGAAGAATGAATGTAGCGTAAACCATGCACTAGCTCTTAAGTGACGTTTGTGAACTGGCAGATGTCAATGAATGGCGGAAGAAAGTAGTTCCTAATACAAAGGGGTTTTTAGACTCCCTGTGTTCGATTTTGTTTTTTATATACATGATTGTGCCGTCGAACTGTTGTATAAACACAACATCACACTCATATCAGTGCAATATGGCTGCATATTGTCACTGGTGGGGCACTAAGGCACTCGGCCTGCGGCCTTGAGCCACCACACGCCTCCCATCAGTGCCAATATACAGCCATATCGCACTGCTACTCGTGTGATATTGCTTTTATATAAATGTATGTATGTGTGTGTGTGTGTGTGTGTATGTGTGTGTGTGTGTATATATATATATATATATATATATATATATATATATATATATATATATATATATATATATATATATATATATATATATATATATATATATATATATATATATATATATATATATATATATATATATATATATATATATATATATATATATATATATATATATATATATATATATATATATATATAGGGTTAAATTGATTAATAACTATTTAACTAAATTAGTAAATAAGGTTGTCAATGAAATTATATTAATATAAACAGAAAAAAATATATAATAATATATAAAAATATATAATAATTATAATAATCATTATTAAATATTCTTATTAGAAATATAATTATTGTTTAGATATTTTAAACTAATTATACTTTTACTAATATAATTATTGTAAATAATAATTTTTTTTAATAAATAATACATGCTATTAATAGTATTAAAAATTATTATCATAAAATATTAATTAATTCATTTTCTTGTCGGCTTAGTCCTTTCATTAATCTGGGGTCGCCACAGCGGAATGAACCGCCAACTTATCCAGCAAGTTTTTACGCAGCGGATGCCCTTCCAGCCGCAACTCATCTCTGGGAAACATCCACACACACATTCACACACACACTCACACACACACACGGGAAGGCAGGGAGAACATGCAAACTCCACACAGAAACGCCAACTGAGCCGAGGTTCGAACCAGCGACCTTCTTGCTGTGAGGCGACAGCATTACCTACTGCGCCACTGCCTCGCCCATCATTAAATATATTTATAATAATAGTTATATTAATAAGAATATCATTATTATTATGATTGTTAGCATTATTATATTATATTATGTTGTCATATTCATTCATTCATTCAATATTCAATACTATTCACATACACACACATTATTGTCTCACTGTTTAAATGATCATTAGTTTAAAAAAATGCTAATTGGTTTAAATGGCAGCATTGATTGAAGCCTAATGAGAATCTGCATGCTTGCAGTGTATACAAAACATCATTGATTATGACGGCAGTGAAGTTTTGATGCGGCAAGCTATAAAAGCTACATCCATCTAATCCACGTCGACTTGAGTTTCTGTCCTAATCAGCGAGAGCAGCAGGAGACTGCGGACACAACACACACACACACGCATAAGCACACACAAAACTTCCTTACAGCTTGTTCTGAATCAGAAAAAATATGTTTCTTTCTCGTGCAGTTCCTCTTTTCTGTGTTCCAGGTGAGTTGAGAGTGACTCCAAATGGATCGATACAGAGTTCTGGGTCGAACATCTTTGAGGCGAAAGCACAGACGAATCCATCAGGAACAGCATTAATGTGCTTTCACAAGAGAAGAAAGACTGGAGTGTGGCTCATCTTCACTTGTTTAACTATTAACCACGCAACATATTACAATAATTAATTTTCTAATTGATTTCTATCAAGCTATTGTCTCTGATCAAACACGGGCCGTGCTGAAGCTAATTTCTTGTGAAGCACGAGGTTACACGGGTCAATTAGGCAATTTATGCGAGACGGCTCATGAATATTCACACACCGCAGGAATATTAGTGATGTGACTGGGCCAGATACATCGATATGCAAATGAGGCCCAGGAGGTGAAGTTGGTTATGATTTAGCGAATGATTTTCAGCGCTGTGTGGAGTTATGATCTATAGCTTTAATCTCAGGTTTGTTGAATTGTAGGTCAAGACACGAACAGAAGAAGGCAGGATCTTATCGTTTAGGTAGACCGGATGACCAGGATAAAAAATGGGGACAGTTTGAAGACACAACTGGTGAGTAGTAAAAGTTTTCTTCATATTTTTATGTGGCAGATCTGAGAATGCATGTTTTTGTGTTCACAACTGTAGAGAGCCGAATGGGTAAATGTGTAATGCTGTCCAATTAGCAGAGTCAATTTTTCTGATAAATTTGACTTAATGTTAAAGAGCTGATATTATACATGAAATAGGGTCATATTTTGGTTGTCTCCAAGGGTCTCCAACAACAGTCTAATATGCATGCAAGGTCAAAAAACACTTATAATCTTAAAAACTTATAATCTGCATTTATTTTTACCTAATTATCCCGGCGACTCCCATATGAATCGTCCAGTGATTCATTTGTTCCCAAATTCCTCTTTAGCGCGAAGCTAATCTGCGCTGATTGGACCGACGACAGTCTGCTGCGATTGGTTGACACTAAGGGTGTCATGATCCTCCAAATCCTTGATTCGATTACATTTTCGATTCTAAAGTCACGATTCGATTCGATTTTCGATTATGAATAATTAATTAATGACCAATTAATTATTTGTAGCCTACTATTTAAACTACCTGACCTGTATGGTCTTTGTTTTACCCATAAACAAATTATACAGTAAATGAATAAAGGCAAGATACACACATAATTACCACCTGTCAATCACTTTTTTCTGCGGGACTGTGAATAGGCAGTGATCTGTGTCGTTATAATGGCGTCGGTAAAAAAGATGCACAACCAACAGGAACCAGCCAACAGATGTTCGCTAAAATGACAAAGTACAAGTGAGTGAAAGATTGAAGCAGTCCTCTGACTGCCTGGACCTGCTGTCTCGAGCTCATATGGCTGTGTGTGCGTCTGTGTCTGTGTGGTCACGTGATGTGCATTTTCAGAGGAAAGGTAGAGAGGAAGGAGGGCTGCTCAGAAATGCTACACGCCACTGTGGATGTCAAATCGTTGTCGTTCTAAAATGCCATTTAAAAACAAAGACAGTGTAAACAGGGCCTGAGTGTGTACTTTTCGCGAGCGGATTTGCAACGGGGGCGGGCGGAGGATCGCGATGCCGGTGTTGTCTATCGGACGAACCGTACGTAATACGTACATAGCAGAGCTTGCAAAACTGTGTTTTGTTTTTTTTTTTGTCGACAACACGAACGTTGTCAACATAACTCACTGGAAATCCAAAATGCTTACACACCGGTGACTTCATTGAAAGAGGAGAGGGTTTAAGCTCTGTCGACGGGTCTCCTGCTTCTGCAGTTTAACAAGCACTTCAACAAGCCTGTTATTTTCCCGCTTGGCAAGCCAAGCTGACGTGACATAGGGCTGTGGCAGCATCAACGATTCTATTTTTTGATTCGATAATCGAAATTGAGCATACATTTCGATCGATTTTGATCACCCCTAGTTGACAATGACTGCTTTCAGTCAGAGACAGAGCACCTAAAATGTGAGTGAAATGCCTAGCAGCTAATCAACAAAATAGAAGTAGTCAAAGTGTATACACGCTCGATAGTGTAAGGCGTGAAGTTTAGCTGCCAGTGGATGAATGTAAATACAGACGATGGACTTGAAAATACAGACGACTACCTATTTTATTGATCAAAAACTCCCAAGAACTGGCAAGGAGATCTCCTAGCTTGTCGCATTCTGTTCTTTTCACAGACACACACACACACACACACATATTCCCCTCATCCTCGCGCACGCGTCCACACACACAGACATAACCCTCTTCCAGACGACATCGCGAACACACACACAGACACACACACACACATAACACTTCTCCGGACGACAACGCGCACGCGCGCACACACACACACACACACATTACACTCCTCCACGGGAATGTAAACAAAGCAGCACACGTCACGTTTTTAACGTGGCTTTGCACGCGATATAAGAATAAGGCGAGTTAATCTGATGCAGTACATGCGGTTACAAGTAACAAATCACAACTAAATACATTTGCAAGCTAGAGTAAATGAAGCAACTTCAATCGCACGTACTTACACTTGAGAAATGGAGGAAGAAACCGATCCCCCTGACATGTCCAGTCTTTAGTTTCCATTAAATAAATGTGAACATTTTACAGTAACTACTGTAATTTAAATTTCAGTAAACTGATCATCTTAAAGGTTCACGAAACTCTCAAGTACTTTTTTTTTCGGAGTTTTTAACAGATTTGTGTGTTTAGCATCAGTTAAGACTATGTTAGCACCTCTTAGCTTAAATTGTGGGAAAAACTGGATAATTTAATCAGCTAATTTCAGCTTCCGGATTTAAAATGAATTTTGAGGCGGGATTAAAATCGGCGACGTATCGCAAAACTGCAAGTGCAAAGATGACACGTCGGTTTCTCATTATTATTCAAAGCCGAGTTTTCTTATCCTATGAGAAGAGGCTGCTGCTTAATTATTCATGACTGCACGTGCTTTCCGAAGGCAAGCCAGATCTGCCAGTGCCAAGCTGTGAGAAACGGACCCACGGCACGCAGTATTTAGCTGTTCATGAAGGGTCGTATGTTTTTGTTGCCTTTCATCGGGTTAATATTGAAGCTCGTTAATCCGATTCAGCATGTAGAATCAGCATCATACATCAACTGAAGAGCTTTGATGGGTTATTCAGCAACAAATCAGATCGCAAGAACAAAAACTGAAGTGTGAAGCAAGTAAACAATTAAGTCAATAAGGATCACAATGAGGCCAGCTGTAATTTTGCTATATTTCTTAAATATTTGCATTGGACATAGATTTTTTAGATTACTATTACAAATGCACGTCATTGAACATGTACACAGAGCCATCACCTGTATTCTCTATACTGTAACTGCAGGTTAACTGCTTATAAATGTTATAACTTTAACTGTTAAAAACTATTAGTTATTAGTTAATTAGTAAAAATATATGGTTATGGTATAACTCATAACCTTAACTTTTCCAAATTTGATTGAAATGCAATGTGCACCATTTGTTAAGCTGCTTTGAAACAATGATTATTGTGAAAGCACTATACAATTAAACTTGAATTGAATTGAATATTTGCATGAGCGAATCCCTATGTGGTGAGTTTCAAGTACTGGGATAATAATACTAAATTCTGCATTGTTTACTCTGCGTTTACTCTGCGTGTGCGCATCAAACCCATCACCCACAGGTGCAAAAAAGACACATCTTTTCACACAGGTGCAGAACGCACACTCTCATTCGCACTGATCATTTGGCTTCCGTCCAGTTTGTGCATTCACATGCTGCTTTTTGGTCCAGGCGAGACCAGACATGAGTCAATGCAAAGTGACAACACAGTTGGTTTTCATTTGTGCCGATCGACAATAGTATCGTGTATCGACGATAGGCAAAGATTTCGCCGATAGCTGAAGCCTGTGATGTATTTAAAGACGATATTTTAGCTCGTTTTGCATTTATGGAGATCCATTACATTTTTTGATTACACTGTTGAATAAAATGAATAATATTTTTAATCATCATCATTAATAATAAATGACCTTCAAATAGTTTGACAGCTTCGGACTGCAGCCCCACGCATCTTTAGCATGAATTGAAAATTAGACTAGCCTCCTCAAAGGAAAAAAGTACAATAATTTTTTTACTTTACGATTTTTACAAATAAAACAACCAAAAAAGATATTTCTCTTATCAGAAAACAATATCCAGAGTGCAGCATTGTGTTAGATTTTAGCAAATACAAATGTAAACTTGATTATTGCTTTTGCGATGATGATGATCAAACTAATACCGAGTTCAGACTACATGATTTTCAAAGTAGTCGTGTCACAGATGTTTTCACACTGCATGACTATCTGGGCTAGCGTTTTCGTTTCGTTTGTTTACACTGCTAGATGGATCGTCGACAGGGACATTCACATTGCATGACTTCACTATAGGAAGAATCGCTGACACCTTCGTCCAAACTACGTCTCACAGCCAAAAACACGTAGAATATCTTTTGTTATTAACTACATAATGAGAAAGAAGCCTTTAATGGGGTAGAACATGTACATATTTGCTCATCTGGGTTTAAAGGGAATTAGCCATTTCTCCTCAACGTTGATAATAAACTAATTTCTTTCTGTATGAAACGTCAAACAGACACGGGTGGTCCTGAGTCCTGTCAAACCTCCACTAGTTTTTCCTCCATTTTGTAGGTCCAAATAAACCGAAAAAGAGCGCTTTTAACTACTCCCCCAGCCTCCCGCTGGCCTGCAGCAGGTATACACACAAGCACACACAAGTGAAAGCTGCTCTCTCATTGGCTGTTTGTTATCGCTGGTGTTATTTTCAGTCAAAACTCAATTCACACGGCATGATTTGAATCGCCGACAGCTCCAGATATTTAGCATGCCAAATATCTCGCAGGCATCGGTGATTCATCTGCGATTCTCTCAGATCGCGTCTTTGAAAGTTCATACTGTGTGATTGTCACTCACGTGCACAAGCAGCGATTTGCTTGTGATTTCAGGCATTTGTCGGCGATTTCTCAAAACCTGTGGCCGAGCCAAAATCGGGGCTAAAATCACGCAGTCTGAACTAGGCATAAAGTCGGGCTGCACTCAACTTCAACAAAACGAAAATGCCTTCACCAGATATAAACAGTCATGCGCAGCTAGTAAATCCTCTGCATCCCATCAATGCATCCGCGTTTTTTCGGTGCATAGATAAGTATTAAGGATGCATCGATATGGATTTTTTGGCCGATATCAATAACCGATAATTCTTCAGATTTGGAGGCTGATAGCCGATATATATATATATATATATATATATATATATATATATATATATATACATAATGCAACTGAAATAGATTATTAAATAAGTAAAAAATCAGCCGAAAGGTTATTAAATACAATTTTTTTTTTCAATAAACGAGCAAATAAGTAAACATAGCACTGCTGCGCCCCCATGCAATAGGGTATATGTCAAGCTAGTGTTTTCTGATAAACTTCCAGACCTGTTATTGTGAATTTTTTTCCATTTTATATGGTTCCTTTTACAGCATCGATGTTGTAATGTAATTAAAATACACTCAGTTAAATAGACTTTGGCATTCATTTAGTTGCTCAAGCGTAAAACGAGACAAAAAGCCGTTTGCCTGCACGTGCCCGTCAGAATCGGCAGAATAGCGCAGAAGCTATTTGAATAAAGCCCATTGAATATACTGGAGTAAAATAAATGATCGTATTATAAAGACATGGCGGGGGGAAATGTAACTTAGTGCAGTGCTTCTTGTACAATCTGAGCCCCACTTTATATCGGATATTAATCAGCCAGTGGAGATCGCTGATTTTTAAAGAAAACTGACCTTAAATGCGCCAGTTTTTGCATTGGCATACAGTTGACAGGAAGCGCCTAACCCAGGTTACTGGCAAATTCAAAGTCCTGTTAGCATGCTTCGGCATATACCCTATAGTATCGTGTATTGGCTCACAGGAGGACGATATGGTGATCTGAAAATTTTGTATATCACCGAACACTAGTCTTATTATAGACCCATCAATTCCAGCAAAGAAAGAACTTGTGTGTATGACGTAAATGAACACATTTATCTCAATATTCTGAGAATCATCCACACTCCCTGTACGATCACTCACCTGCGTCCCTTGTGTGATGCCTTGTGGGATCTCTTTGATTCCGATGGATCCGCATTCGACAGTCAAACTATAGCAGCGACACCCGGAAGGACAAGCCAGAGATGTAGAGCACAGCTGGGCCAACATGAGCACCAACACGGCAGACATCTGACCAGGATTCATCTCCGAAAAAACACTGCAAAAAACAGGAAAGAAGGAGTGATAGAAAAGAGACTCAGAACTAGGGCAAAAGAGTGGAAAGAGAAAAGAAGAAAGACAGAGATGGATTGCAGTTAAACCAGCGGAATAATCGTCCAAAAGAGGGAAAAAAAGAGAGAAAAATAAAACAGGGCTTGTTGTTAAAGAGCGCATGCACGTGTGAGCTAATCGGATCCGTAACGCATGAGAATCCCGCTTAAGTGGATCGGAAAATTGAATCCTGCGGTGCAGAAAGGGAAGTAAGTGTAGAGTCAACATAAGGAAGAAAAAAAAGACAGAGAGCGCTCAATTCTGCCTGCTGGTCCCTACAGAAGAGTCTCTTAGGAGGAATCTGTGGTGGGCTTTGGTTAATTAAACATGAGGCTCGAGGTGCACATGTTCACCGCCGTCAGGATCCCTCTTCTGTTTTAAGAGAATATGAAATACAACGGCAAACACCGGCCAGCGCTCATAACACATCTCTCCCAGGAGAGCAGATCAAACCCTGCGCCTGCTCCGCTCGCCTCATCCATCTCAAATCCCCAGCTTTTCATTAAGACATGGATTAGAGGAGTTATGAACAAAGACGTGCGCGTTTTGGCCTGCTGGACCTAGATTTAGATTCAGCGGCCGACTGTATGACTGTATGTGCTGGTGGAAATGGGTTTAAACTGTAAGTAATACAGTAAAAGCTTGGTGTATGTATAATAATAATAATAATAATAATAATTCTGTTAAGTTCAACTGTTGCAAAGTTAAAAAGTTTAAGGAGAGTGAGGTTTTTAAAACAAAGTGCTTTGAATGAAAGTCTCACCAATGAGCTCACCAAGGCAATATTTATGTGATGAAAAATACTGTAATATCATGAACTGATACTGCTGTTAGAAATAGGTACTTTAATATATGTTAGATTTTATTTTATTTATGCGATTTAAAGCACTAATAATATTCCATTCTTCAGTGTCATATTTGCTTTTCGAAAAACTATTTAAGAGGGATTTAGGAACAACAAATAATAACTTCTAGTTGATCATTTGGTATCAGAAGTGGCTTATATGAAATGAAAAGGCTTCTAGGTTACACTTATTTTTTATGCATTAGTAATTTGTAATGATAATAAAAATATATATTTAATAACTCATATTAAAAATATATGAAATGAGCACTGGGTGTCACGGTAGCACGATCACTTCATAGCAAGAAGGTTGCTGATTCAAGCCTCGGCTGGGTCAGTTGGCATTTCTGTGTGGAGTTTGCACAAGGTCAGTGAGTTTTTTTAAAAAAAAGTGCTTTGAATGAAAGTCTCACCAATGTGCTCACCAAGGCCATATTTATGTGATGGATAAATAATAGCGTGAACTGATATTGTTTTTTTTTTAAATAGGTACTTCAATATATTTTAAATTTTATTTTATTTCTGCAATTTAAAGCACTAATATTATTCCGGTCTTCAGTGTCATATTTGCTTCTCGAGAAACTATCCAAGAGGAATTTAGGAAAAACAAATAATAACTTGGCTTCTAGTTGATCATTTGGTATCAGAAGTGGCTTATATGAAATGAAAAGGCCTCTAGATTACGCTTATTTTAACAAAATAAAATCATGCTAAGATCATGCCTTGATTTTTAATGATTTAATTAGTAAAATACATTTTTTAATTTTTAAGGCTTAATCCCTTATTAATCCGGGGTCGCCACAACGGAATGAACCTCCCAATTTATCCAGCACGATTTTCCATCCAGCACAGCGGATGCTCTTCCAGCCGCAGCCCATCTCTGGGAAACACACACTCATTCACACACACTCATACACTACGGACAATTTAGCCTACCCAATTCACTTGTCCCGCATGTCTTTGGACTGTGGGGAAAACCGGAGCACCCGGAGGAAACCCACGCAAACGCAGGGAGAACATGCAAACTCCACACAGAAACGCCAACTGACCCAGCCGAGGCTTGAACCATCGACCTTCTTGCTGTGAGGCGACAGCACTTCCTACGTCGCCCATATTAAATATTGTTATCGCAATACTCAAAAACAAATCACATATTCCATTTCTCCCCATTATGGTGCAGCCTTAATCTGCAGTTCAAACTGTACAAGCCCCAAATTTCACTCTCTGACATGACAGGTTTTGTGAAATGGCAGACAAATGGCTGAAATCAAAGTAAATCAGAGCTCATACAGGCTAGTGACAATCACGCAGTGTGAATGATCAAAGATGTGATCTAAGAGGGTTACAGACGTGTCGCCAATGCCTGTGAAATATTTGGGATGCTGTATCTGAACCTGTCAGCGATTCAAAATCATGCATGAAATGAGCACATAAGTGATGACCAACAGCAAATGAGAAAGCAGGATACAGTTATAGACCACAATCAGGAACATGGAGTCAGCTCTCAGAAAGGCTCCTTCTGGTTTTATTTGAAGCCAAGATGAAAGTTTGAGCAAACTTTAGCAGGACACCTATATCTTTTTGATATTTCATCTCAGCTGTGTAGCACAACGGGGTACCCTTTTCAGTCTTGCACAAGAACTCTGATTTCAAGTGTGATCTTGCAATAGTTCCTTATCGGTTCTCACTATGGACTTGGGGAATAATATGAATGTAGTAGGGATAAAGTGCTTTAAAGTTTTAAATAAACTAATGAATTTTAAATAAATTACTTTAAATAAATTTATACAATAACATTACTCCCCGGGAAAATTAGAGGCCAGACTTGAATGGTCTTTTAGAATATTTAAGTGCACAGCATGCCATGTTGATTGATAATTTTAAGAAATAAAACCGAAAAGCAGTGGCATAAAACAAAAGCACAGGTTAGATAGTGGGGGAAATAAGTATTCAACATGTAACTATTTTTCTCAGAAATCATATTAATAAAGGTGCAATTTAAAGATGCCTTTCAAATGGAGAAGGAAGTCACATGCATTGCTCAGGTGTGATTATTATTATTTTTTCTCACAGACGTCAACAGAGTGTGAATATCTTGATGGTTCTGTGCATTTTGCCTATCCAAACTGATCTTTATTTTTTTATTTTCAGTTGTATTTGAGTCAGCTGATTGTCTGGGCCATTCCACAGCTTGATTTTTTTTTCTCTGAAAGCATTCGAGAGTTTCCTTGGCTGTGGACAATTGGATCGTCATCTGCGTCTCAAATGGCACACTATCCACTAAGACACTATGTACTATGTACACACGTCCCAAATGGAGCACTAATGTTTTTTTATAAAGTGGAAATTCAAACTGTTTCCCTGACGGTTGCCAAATCAGTGAAATAAATGACCAAAATATCAAGTAATACCTGCCATGAGTATAACTGGGTAACACTTTACAATAAGGTTCATTAGTTGGTGTATTTACTAACATGAACTAATCATGAACAACACTTGTTCAGCATTTATTAATCATAATTGAACATTTACTAATGCATTATTAACATTCAAGTCCGAGCTTGTTAACATTAGTTAGTGCACCATGAGTTAACATGAACTAACAATGAACTACTGTATTTTCATTAACTAACGTTTATTAGCATGAATAAATACTGTAGTAAATGTATTGTTCATTGTTTGTTCATGTTAGTAATTGCATTACTTAACATTAACTAATCAACCTAATTGTAAAGTGTGACCTATAACTGAATCCAAAATGAACAAAGTAATCCAACATGTTCGCCCGATAGCTCCGCCCCTTCCGCTACATGAGCAAACCTGCGGTCGTTGAGTGTGTGAAGCGTCCATCATCACACACTTCATTTTACCGGCTGAATGAGTGCATGATCCGGGTAACTAAAGTGCACTTATTATTTTTAGAGTTTTCAGTGTGAACACACCACTTACACTATTTATACCACAAAATGGCATAGAATAGTGCACAAATATGCGATTTGGGACGCAGCTATTGTCTTGCTAAAATGTCCACCCTGGTTTTTATCTTCATCATCCTGCTAATGTAGATGTTAGACTGAAGCAGCTGATATTAATTTACACTGACGAAGGGCAGAGGGTTGCTGAAGAACTACTGAGAGATTTCAACTGCTGTCTGGGCTTTCACTACCCTTTCACACCTCCCTTTCTTCATGTGTTTAATACTTTTTTCCTGTGTTATTTCATGTTATTGTGCATAACTTAATTTGCAAACTAATTAGATTTGTTTTCTTTATGCATTTCTTTGGTTGTCATCAACCATTAGAAAGGAGCAATTCCAGCGGTATGGATGTGACATTTGCAGAACTCAAAACATAAAATCACATAGAAAGTTTATAGTAAAATATTGAAACATCTGTTTATATTTTCCAGAACAACTAACCACAGAGTAATAAGATAAAAAAAAAAAAAACATCAATCTGTAAACATGTTTTGTACTACAGATCTGCGTAGGACTAAATTTTGAATCCCGCTCCCGCCAGGTTTTAGCCCAAACCCGACTGCTCCCGCTTATATTCAGCATTTTTTGTCCCGCTGCCCGACCAGCCTCGTTCTCTACCCACCAAGCCCGTTCCTGCTAACGGACGGGGGGAGAACAAAACCGAAAACCACCCAGCTATACAGAGTATAGACAGCCTAGACAACAAGCTGTCTGTATAAACACACACACAGACACATCTAAGCACCAAGCAAGTGACACACACAGACAGCATCAAGCTCTCTCTCATTCACACACACACACACACACACAGACAGCACAAAGCTCTCTTTCTAATTCGCACACACACACAGACACACACACACACACACATTCATAGACAACAAACAAGCCAAACGCAGCATCACGCTGTCTCATTCACATACATACGCGTGCTCGGGAGTCAATAGCGATATTGTTAGACAGCCCGCTTCCGTTCAAAATTAATCCAGTTACCCACCGCTCCTGCACTTTATTCGGAAATTTATTCCCGGAATGCAGACCTCTATTTTGTACTTTAAATAAGGAAAATATACATGCGTTATGGTATGATCAAAGTATGCAAGTTTGCAGTATACCTTATAGAAATTCTGTGAATTAAACTGCACAACCCCAAAAAGCATGCTAATCAACAGGATAACAGCTGGCTCTCTATAGAACAAACATGATTGATTTGATTTTATTTAATATTTTTGCATTTATGAGGAAAAGGCTCTGTTGTGGATGTGACGCCTCTTTGTTATGGACGTGACTGATGTGAAATTGGCCCTTGTGTGACTTTGGTTAATCAAATAAAATTGGTTAAAATTTTGAATCCCGCTCCCGCCAGGTTTTAGCCCGAACCCGACTGCTCCCGCTTATATTCAGCATTTTTTGTCCCGCTGCCCGACCCGCCTCGTTCTCTACCCACCAAGCCCGTTCCCGCTAACGGACGGGGGGAGAACAAAACCGAAAACCACCCAGCTATACAGAGTCCAGACAGCCTAGACAACAAGCTGTCTGTATAAACACACACACAGACACATCTAAGCACCAAGCAAGTGACACACACAGACAGCATCAAGCTCTCTCTCATTCACACACACACACACACACACACACACACACACACACACACAGACAGACAGCACAAAGCTCTCTTTCTAATTCGCACACACACACAGACACACAAACACACACACACACACACACACACACACACTCATAGACAACAAACAAGCCAAATGCGGCATCACGCTGTCTCATTCACATACATACGCGTGCTCGGGAGTCAATAGCGATATTGTTAGACAGCCCACCGGTAGTTACCCACCGCTCCAGCACTTTATTCGGAAATTTATTCCCGAAATGCAGACCTCTATTTTGTACTTTAAATAAGGAAAATATACATGCGTTATGGTATAATCAAAAAAGTGTGCAAGTTTGCAGTATACCTTATAGAAATTCTGTGAATTAAACTGCACTACCCCCA